CACACCAAAACAACAACAAAAACACACAGCCTATTCTCAGTCCTATTCCCTTTCAAAAAGTCTGTTTGGCTTTCAGAGAGCTGTGAACTAAGATTTCTGTGAACAGGGACCAAGACTAGACACTGTTAGAACAGGAGGCATGGTTTTTAGTATCTTAGATGAGTCTGGCGAGGAACTGTTAATAGATGCAAAAGAAGACTTTATAAAGAACATGGCATGATTCAAATGTATGGTTATTTTTATTTTTTCATCCTTTAGGCCAGTCCTATTGAATAGGAATATAATGCAACCCAAATATGTAATTTAAACTTTTCTAGTAGGCACATAAGTAAAAAAAAAAAAAAAAAGAAGAAGAAGAAGAAGAAGAAGAAAGAAAAAAGGGGCAAAACATCCAGATTTCTTGCCCTGGCTCACACAGCTCCACATCTATCACTGGGCCTACCCTTCCAGGCTCCCCTCACACTCCCCCTGCCTTCCAGAATCTTCCAGCCACATGAGCCTCTTTTAGTCCTTGAGCTCACCAAGCTCATTCTCACCTCGAGGCCTTTATCCAGCTGCTTATTACTGCCTCATAGTCCCTATTGATCATTTGCTCTTGTCTCTCCTCACTAAAACTCAGGTTCCCTAAGAGCAGGAATCTTATCTGTCTTCTTCACTACTGTATACTCTGGGCCCACAACAGTGCCTGGCATGCCGTAGGTTGAATGAATGAACAAACGAGGAACAAGTGAACCAGGTGGGGTTGTTCTGAAGTGAGTGAGGAGACAATCAAGAAATGGCTATCAGGTCACACAGAATTCTCCCTAGACAGAGTGTGATCTGAAATGCAGTCCCAGATTTCCCTTTGGTCACAGGGAATGCCTCTGGAGCCCCCGTCTCCTCAGGCCCCCTAACATGGGCTCATGCCTGCTGTGTCTGGGATCAGGCTATATGTCCGCACTCCCTCCCCATCACTGCCACCACGAGCAGTGGCCCCCTGCTCGGTGCATAGTATCATACCAGGACTCATGTCAGGAAACAAGGTAGTAGAGTGACCACCATTTCTTCCCACCTGGTGGGTGGAGGGCAGGAGGCCCCCTTGTGTCAGAACTGCAAGAAAGGTCACTCCCCATGCAGTGGGGGTAGGCACCCTAGAACTTGAGAAGAGCTCTGTCCCCAGTTCATGAGGAAGAGGAGACTAGTTGGAGGTCACCAATTAACCAAGAGGTTGTTAGATCACTAGGTGTCAACCCAACTTTAGAGGAAAGCCACCCATGAAGAGGTTTTTAGCTTGGCACCAGTCATTAACTGTATACTGACAAGAAGTGTGCGTTCCTTTATGTTACATGTTTCTAAAGCCCACACACTCAGACCCGCTTTTACAGGTTCTGCTTCAGAACATCTAGATGTTCCAGGCACCTACAGAAATTTTTAAAGCTTCCTTTGTGGTGCTCAGTAGCATCTAAGGTTAAGAACTATTGATAAGGAGGGGCGCCTGGGTGGCTCAGCCGGTTAAGCGGCTGCCTTTGGCTCAGGTCATGATTCCAAGGTCCTGGGATCAAGCCCCACATCTGGCTCCTTGCTCCGCAGGGAGCCTGCTTCTCCCTCTACCTGCTTGTGCTTGCTCTTGTTCTGATAAATAAAATCTTAAAAAAAAAAGAAGAATGATTGATAAGAAGTGACTAGGGACCCCAGAGCAAGCAGATGAAGGAGAGAGTGGTGTAGGTAAGGGGCAAGGATACTGACGCAGGACGTCAGTCACACTTAGGTTAATTCACATAAAACTTCTGGGTGTCCAAAAACATACCCCCAAATCAGCATTAAAAACTGTAAGCAGGGGCGCCTGGGTGGCTCAGTGGGTTAAGCCGCTGCCTTCGGCTCAGGTCATGATCTCGGAGTCCTGGGATCGAGCCCCACATCGGGCTCTCTGCTCAGCGGGGAGCCTGCTTCCTCCTCTCTCTCTGCCTGCCTCTCTGCCTGCTTGTGATCTATCAAATAAATAAATAAAATCTTTAAAAAAAAAAAAAACTGTAAGCAGCAGGTAATTGGGGAAACTATAGAGAGCAGAAGGTTAATAGCCTTAATATTTACAAGAAAAAAAAAAAACCCTTATGGATCACTAAGATGAGCACCCAGTAGAGAAACAGTATAGACATGAACAGACAGTTCAAATAGAAGAAATACAATGAGCCAATACATTTATGAAAAGTGGTCAGCCTCCCCAGGAATCAAATAAACGCAAACTACAACAACAAAGAGACGTTATCTTTTGCCTAGCTAATTGGCGAAGATTAAATATGTGATAACACCTCATGTTAGTGAGGGTGTGGAAAAAACAGGCGCTGCCATTCACTGGTGGGAGTGCAGACTGGTGCAACCTTTTCCAGAAGGCAATTTGGCACCGCTTAAAGCTGAGGAAGATCGCATGCCCTTTTGATGCAGCCATTCCCCTTTTAGGAAGAGTGCCCTAGGAAATTATTGTGGATGGTAATAAACAGTAATAGCTAACCTTTATTAAATGCTCTGTGCAAGCCAGACTTTACGTGCGTTGTCTCGTGCACTGCTCACAGCCATCCTCCCGTGAGAGAGGAGCTATTATTATCACCAGTATTTCCCAGGTGAGGAAACAGAGGCACAGAAAGATTAGGTCAGTGACCTGAGGACACTAAGCTAATGAGAAGCGAGGCCTGGATTTGAATCTGGACAGTCTGAGTCAAGAGCCACACTGCCCATCCGGCAGGACACGCCGGATGTGTGCGAAGGGTGAGCCCTGCGTGCACACGACAGGCATGCTGCATATGTATGCTGGGCAGGGCTGGGCCCATTTGTAATGAGGTGGCAGTGAGGAGAAAACACGCTGAATACGCCAGGATTGGAATTGGTTCGGTCAATTGGTTCCGATTCTGGGGCTGATAAAGGAATAGTATGCAACCATGAAAAATAAGAAAATTGTGTGTGTGAACACTTGGGGCTTATGCATGTACATAGAAGGTCTCTGAAATGATAGAAATGCAACTGATAATATCGGTTGCCTCCTGCAAAGGCCCCCATGTGACTGTGGTCAGAAGTTAGAGGGAGACTTGTTTCTCAAGCCTTATACCCTTCTTATACCTACTTCTTGAATTTTAAATTCTGTGAAGATATTATCTAAAGGTGTATTTATGTGTACTCGCACCCATAAGTTATGTTACAGAGCTATTCCACGTGACTATTTCCTTGAAATGCTACCACAGGTTCTGAGGAAACCTGTGGAAATCTGAGGAAAAAAGTTCTAAGATCCTTGCTTGGGGAATCATTCCAAAGTCAGCGATGATACGTCTTTAACTCTGTTCTCCACCCACTCCCCAAACTGTTTTGCTCATGGAACCCTTTTCTCAAGTAACGTCTATTATCATCTCTCTGGATATTCACATCCTGTAGAATTTGGTTTGGGAAATGCTGTCATTACTAGTTAATGCCAAGCTCAAAGACTTACATTTCTTTCATTAAACAAAAGAAACGTGTTACCGACACTGAGCCCCTTTATTTACACTGCATATGTACGTGTGTGTACCTTACTTCTGAGTACCAGGATGGTGGGTGATTTTGTTTTCTTTTATCCGTCTGTATTTTTAAAATTTTCTAAAATGAACAAAATCCTTTCACAAGCACTGTGTAATGTCATGTTTGAAGCTTCTGGAGCCCTTTCTCATCTGCTCTCGCCACCCGAGCACCCCGCTCTCATCTCCTGCCTGCTTACAAGCAGCCGTTCAGGGGTAGGTTCAGTGTGGAAGCCCTAGCAAAAGCCAGGCCCTCTTGGCTGCCTTCATTCAGAGTTGGCCGAGACGGGACCATTCGGTCCCCAGACAGCTCCCTGGCCCAACAGACCCTGGTTTCTGCTATTGGAGGAATTTCAGTTATGTTCTCTGTTCCCCAAAAAGAGACACACGCTGCAAAAGCAGACACAGCCCACTCTGGGCCTGACGTGTTGCAAACGCAGATACCTGGGCTTCGGTCCCAGCTCTGTGGCTGCCTGGCTGTGTGGCTGTGTGACCTGGGGCAAGTTTCTTAACCTCTCTGAGTCTCATCTTCCCCATCGATGTCTGCAATGACCCTTGCCTCACAGAGCTTAGGGACTGAATGAGAGCATGCAGAAGGCATTGTGTAACCTATAAAGGACTGTCCTAGTGGAAATCATTACATACCTCAGCAGGGAATACAGGCTGGCCCTTACCTTTCTGAGAACAGAGAACTTCCCCCACCCCCCTTTTTTAGGTTATTGTGGGGAGGGGAGTGAGGAGATGAGGCATGGGAGATCTGGGCAAGTAGAAATAGAATCCTGTGTAAGAAAAGTAGGAGAAGCCTCTCAGCTTGGCATTTGCAGGCCTGCAGCCCTAGTTGGGCTAGTGTCCCCCCAGTGGAGCCCCAGGCCTTATCCCCCAGACACCTGCTCACCTGCCTTCCTATTCCTTCTAGCACTTTAGCATCCTTCCGCTCTTAGCTCAGGCCACTCTTCCCCCAGCCTGCATTGGGGTCGCTCCTCTAGGTTTCAGCACCTCCAGGCCTCTGTGTACCATGCTATGATGTTAGTGCCAGATTGTAGCTCTCCTGCCGCCCTGAACTTTCTGGGGGCCCGAACTCTATCCTCTTGGTCCTCCTGTGTCCTCCAGGCCCAACATAGGCCTGGGCATCTGGGATAGGAATTAGAGCATGAGCCCCAAAGTCAAAGGCACCTGGATTTGAATCCCAACGGACCCTGAGAAAGTGGCTGCACCATTCTGAGCCTCAGTTTTCCCCATCTGTAAAGGGGTTTCATCCCTGCAGTGAGGCCATGGGTCTTTTTCATAAGCTAATGTATATAAAGCTCCTAGTGTCATTCCAGGCATGAAGGAAGCCCCGTAGGTCATAGCCACACTGACATCATTGCAGACCCTCTGTGACTGCTGACTGAAGCAGGAAATAACCCCGTGCCCTCCCTCCACTGCACACACCTGGCAACACGCCCTACCGCCATACTGACCTTCCTGCCTTGCTCCCCACAGCCACCCGGCCCAAGCTGAAGAAGATGAAAAGCCAGACGGGGCAGGTGGGTGAGAAGCAGTCACTGAAGTGCGAGGCCGCAGCGGGCAACCCTCAGCCCTCCTACCGCTGGTTCAAGGATGGCAAGGAGCTCAACCGCAGCCGTGACATTCGCATCAAGTACGGCAATGGCAGGTGAGGAACGCACCTCCCTCCTCCCTGAAAAGATGGGGCTAGTTCCCGTCCCCCTTCCTGACCACACCCATTCCTCCCTGCAGCACTGGGTCCCTTTGGTTATGGCGGCCCAGTGTCCTGCAGCAGATAGATGCTTAATGGGAAGGTCTCTGGATGGTTGAAGGCAATTTGATCATCAAATACAGCTTTCCCTGTGGAAGTCCCCTTTTGGCCCTAAAGCTTCTCAAAGGATCTGCCTCGGGGCCTAAAAGCCCACCATTTGGCAATGTTTGGTGGGAGACCACTCCAGGATGCATCTGGGAAGTCATGAGCGAGGACTTCAGCCTTCCTCTACCACCAACTCTCTCTCATCACTTCCCTTATAAAATCGTTCCTTCCCATCACAGTGCCTGTCCCTCCCCCCGGTGCTGCCCGTCCCGCTTCTCCCCTCCACCATCACACAGGGTCCGCTGACTCCTCCCTGTCGTCATCCATGGCCCTCTGCCCTGCTGGCCTCTGCCCTCTAATGACACCCCTCCGCTGCCCGTGGCTGTGGCTTTTGAGAGACCCTGGCAACCTCAGAGCTTCATAGCCCCAGACCTCCAGGCCTCTCAGCAGCCACTGGCCTGGGGCCACCGGCTCTGTGATCCCTCCCCTCTTCTGGACCTTTTGTGCCTGTAACCACTCCATCAGTGCTAGAACTTTCCTGTCTTGGGGGCTTCCCTCCTCTCCTCCCTCCCTCATCCACTTGTGGGGGATTTCACCCTCTTCTAGCTGATAAGATTATCTTTAGTGCTGCCAGCTAAGCACTAGCTCCCAGCAGGGATATGCCCCCAGACAGCTCTGAGCCATATGCCCCAGTCTAGCCTCTCCTCGGCATGCTTTCTAGCCCTGCCGCACACCCTCCTGTCTCCCCTCTCGGCAGTGGCAGAACCAGACCCCCTACAGCCTGGCATCAGCCCCCGTGACATCCCCACCAGCAGGAGACACCCTGCCCTCTGCCCCGCATGTTCTTATCCACCCTCCTGCCTCCAGCGGCTTTTCCTCCACTGTCCCACTCTTGGCCATCCCCACTCTTCCTGGGCCGCGGGTCCCTTTGTGAGTTTGCTTTACGTAACATGTGCATATGGGACATCAGCTGCAAGCCAGGCCCTCTGTCAGGAGCTGGGCTTACCCCAGAAACCACACTTGGTCTCTCCCTTCCCTCACAGAGCTTCTAGTCTAGCTTATAGATACAATACAGAAGGTGGTAGAGGCCTCCACCCTTTCTTCAAAAAAAAAAAAAAAAAAAAAAAAAAGTGCCTTATCCACCCAGTTTTACTGACAGTTCTAGAGGCCTGCCGACTCCTGTGATCCTGGCAGGGGAGATCTTTCTACCATAGACGCATATCCCCTCTTCCTCTCCTGAGTCACTGCCATGCTGTTCCCCAACCCCTCAGTGCTCCTGATCCCTGGTCTGTTCCTTTCACGATCCCAGACTTGGGCCCAAGCTGTTCCCCATGCTGGCAGCTCCCTGCTCCTTGTCCCTAGCAAAGCTCTCCAGGCCCAGATTAAATGTATTCTCTGCAACACCTTCCTGAACCCTCCAGGCAGCTCTTATGGTCCCTTCTCACAGTGCCTTGGACATGGTTTCATTGCATTTCAGGGGAGGTTGTCTGTCCCTGGAGCACGAGAGAGCCTCAGAGGCTGGATGCTGCCCGTGTACACCCTTCCGCCCTATGCGGCCTGGCAGACTTCTGCATTCAGTGTTGAATTAATGAGACTCTTGCAGGACTAGCTCTCTTCTCCTGGGTATAGGGGGACACTGGGACTACACAGGGCACCCTCCTTGGGTTGACCTAGACTTTGAGCCAGTTGCTGTCCTGGTCAAGCCTCAGTCTCACCTGACAAATGGGTTACCCGGTCCAGAAACAGGGCCTGGTCGGGTCTTTCTCTCCTGGCTATGGGGGATCCCTAAGAGCCTGGAATGTCCCCCCCGCCGGCCCTCTTCCGATTAGGGGCCGGTCCCATTTGCAACACCCCTGAAACTTCCTCGATCCACCTATCCTGCCCCTGGTTTCCCAGCAGTGAGTTGACAAGGTGGACAAATGAGCCATGATGGAGAACTTCAGATTCCCTTGCTGCGGCCAAGAGGGCTGCCATCTACACACACACACACACACACACACACACACACTTCACCTGGCTCGGCAGGTGCTGGCGGAATCTTCTCTTTCCTTCCACCCATGCTACAGCTTGCTCTCTGGCCATCCTAGCACTCCATCTGCCAAGCCCCGCTCCGTCTTGACCTGGCCCTCAGTCTGCCGAGGCCGCCTCCCCCAGCAGGGGCTGCCATTCCCTGGGGCTGCCACACTGAGGTGTCTCGCCCAAGCCACCCCGTGCCAGAAGAGAACCAGCAGCCCCAAGCCCCAGGCGTGGGGCCCTCCCCTGCAGAACCGCATGTTCCCTTATTTATGAGGGGCAAGCTAGAACAGGCCCCTCAGGCAGGCAGCGGGAGGTAGGCCCCAAGGAAAATGCACGGACGGGCAGAGGATGCAGCTGCCCAGATGCCACCCCTGCCAGCAGGAACCTGGCTGAGGAAGCTGGGGAGGGGCAGCCGTCGCGGGGCCAGGCCTGGGTCAGTGTGGCAAGCGGGCATCAGGCCCACCAGGAGGGTGGGAGAGAGTCCCGGACCCTCAGGCTTTCCAATCAGAGCTAGGAGTGACAAGAGAAGGTAGCAGCCCCCACTCCTTCAGGCCTGAGAGTCCCAGAGAGCCCCTTCCCTGCAGCTCTGACCCCAGGACCTCTTCTGCAAGTCTGGGCCACCCCCCACCCCCTGGCACTGGCCAGATCACCACCTGGCTGAGAAACAAAGGTGCCTACAGCCAGCAAACTGAGGCCCCATGGTTTCTGTCCACTCTCACCCCTTGCCAGCTCCTCAGAGGAGAGGGCCTCTCCCCAAGGCCTGGACTGACTTTCCACCGGTCTCACACACCATAGGTGAGAAGACCTTCCTTCCATTTCCAGCCTTTATCCCTCCAGATATCTGTGAGCCTAACTCCACCTTTCCTGCTACCTGGGATGTGGTATAAGGGGAGCACCTGAGAATTCAGCTGTGGGTGACAAGGGTGGCTCTGTGTCCCTCTCCCTTGACACTGCGACCCTCAGGTGGTACCCTGCTCTTAGCTCATCTAGTGTCAAGGAATTGCTGGCCAAGAAGTGAGAGAAGCCTGGTCCTGGGGCTGCCAGGCTTCGTGGCATCAGATTAGGCTGAAGCCAGGAAGGAGGTACTGTTTTAGCCAGAGGGACCTCCGGGAATCTGTTTAATGAGGAAAATAAACTTGAATTGAAAGAAAAGGGTTGGAGACAGATACCAGCAGGTCAAGGAGACAGAGACTGGCTTGTGCTGGGGAGGGCTGAAGGGACGCAGAGTCAGACAGCTGTGGCTGAAACATTAGTGAAGACATCGACAGAGCAACAGGGCCTGGAAAAGAGCACCCCATGGACTGTCCTTTGGAGGATCTTGGAGTGAGGAGGTCTGGGAAGAGCCCCCCTCCCTGCCCCGAGGCAGCAGTGAGCCCGGGAAACAGGTTCCCAAAGCACAGCCCCAGTGGGGATGGGGGGCAGTCGTCTGGCTCCCACACCCACAGCACAGCCTTACCTCCCCTGTCCTTCTCCTGTCAGTGTCATGGCTCTATTTTTCGTCCCTGGGCTTAGGGCAACAGCAGCTGGACCACCCTACCTAATGTTCCACCGCCCTCCAACACACTACACATATTCTGGGAATCTGGTGTCTTACTTTGGGACTAAAAAGAGGCGGTTACATCATGTAAAGAAGTTTTCATGCTACTTCTTGTTCCCCCTGGGGCCCAGGCTTGGATACTAAGATTTATCCAGAGCTCAGAGGGGCCCCTGAATAGCACTGGGGCAGAGGGAAGGATGGGAGGTGTGAATAGACCCTTCAGAGGCCAGGCATCCCGGGGCAGGTACAGAGAAACCCTGGGAAGGAAGGAGAGGATTGGCAGGGTCTTTGGAAAGAAGAGAGGAACTAGGGCCTGGTGCCCTAGAGTCACTTACAGCCCAGAGTCCCTGCTCAGGTCTGGCCCTGCAACTCTCAGCACGCAGGGACAGGGTGCAAAGCCCTTCATGGAGGGGGCTAGGCCCCCAGCCTCTGGCCCTGGAGATAGTCCATGGGCCCCTGAGGGACCCATGTCCCCACCAACTCCAGCTCCTCATCCACCTCTGCTTCTGCCTTGCCAGGTCCCCTTGCACAAGTCCAGAAGCCCCTTTAGGACTGTTTTCCCATCTCTACTGCCTGTCCATCTCCAGGTTAGCCAGGAGGATCAAGTCAGGCCATCTGGAGCAGGAACTATTTGTTTCCCGGAGGGATCCAAGCTTCCAGCACACAGAAGTCAGAAGCTAAAGCCCCTGGGAGAAGCCACAGAGTACCCCGAGTGGCAGGGCTAAGGTGAAGGGCGGGGAGCCGTGGGTTGGAACTAGGAGGCTAGGCAGGTGTCGTGGGAACCTGTTAGCTCAGGGGCCCTGCCCAGGTCCCTGGGAACAGGCCTTCCGTATCTAGAGCTGCAGGCTGCCACTCCGAAGGGAAGGCTGAGGTAACTGGTGAGGCAGTGGCTGCCCTGTTTTGAGGGGGGACACTGGGCCTGGGGAGGGACGCTGAAAGGAGAGAGGTAGCCACATGACTTAAGAGAACCCCACCTTCCTCCCCCCGAAAAAGGCTCCAAAGAAGGTCCAGCCCTGGAAAAGTGGACAGGAGGATTCACAGATTAAGAACATATGTGCAGCTTCTAGCTCTACCCCATGCTCTCCTGAGCCCCCCAGGTCTCCCTCCAGCTCAGGGGACTCAGCATTCCACCTGGAGCCCAAAATCTACTTCCGATCCCCCCTGCGCAGCCGCTGTGGCTCTATGGGGAGAGGTGACCGCTGGGTGACCGCTGGAGAGCCCGAGCCAGCCTGGGCCTTGGCTCACGTCTCTCCCTCTCTCATCCCCTCCCTAACCAGAAAGAACTCACGACTACAGTTCAACAAGGTGAAGGTGGAGGACGCCGGGGAGTATGTCTGCGAGGCTGAGAACATCCTGGGGAAGGACACAGTCCGCGGCCGGCTCCACGTCAACAGCGGTAGGTGGCCCCCCAACAAAGGGAGGGGTTCTGCAGGGGTTTGGTTCGGCAGGCCTGTTGCCCCCCAGCCCTTGGGAGGCCCGCACATGATCTGTCTTGCACTTGACTCCCCTCCCTCCTTCTGCTGCCATATCAAGCCCCGAGATCTGGGCCGATTCAGAGAAATGCAGTCAAAGCATAAATGTTTAGCTTTGTTATCTGGGCCTGGAAGAGCCGCCAGCTCTCATTTTAAATATCCTGAAAACTAAATATTTTGAAATCAAGAGGTGGGGGTGGGGGACGGATATTTTTAGAAGGCAATTATGGGAGGCTGGGCTGCCAAGAGCGGGGCTCCAGGGAAAGGCAGGCCCTGGGCGTGTGGGAGCTGACTGCCTGTTGCTTTGCTGGGCACCGGGGTGCAGGCAGCCGTCTCCCCAGGGCCATGGCCAGGAGGCTGGGCTGTGTTGGCCCCTGCGGGCAGCCTCATTCAGGGACAGCAGACCCTTCTCCCACAGACTGGCTTCTCCCTTAAGAACATGCAAGGTCTGAAGCCCACGGCACCCCTAGCTCCCCACCCCAACCATGGCAGCTCCAGTGTCGGATGCAAGCAGGCTGCTTTCCCTTGGCTGGAATGTGGCCAGAGCTGCCTGTCCTCAGGCTGCACGCCTCCACTCCAGCCCGGGAACTCCAAATCCCACAGATCCCTTTCCTCTTCCCAACACCCACACATTGAGCATACCATTTTGGCTACCTGGTTCTTTGGGTTCACTTCCAGTCCTGCTCCGTCACTCTGATGCTGCAGCTGCCTTCGCCTGCCTGTACTTCTACCAGCCAGCCAGCCCTCCAGGACTCCCGCAATCCAGCATTATCTAAGGAGAATGTAGGAGTTCCCTGCCCCGGGACCCTCAGTGCAAAACCTGGGGCAGACCCTATCTGTTCTGTATTGGGAAGGGTCTCTTTGTTCTCCCAGCCCCTTAAGCTCCTTGTCTCCCTTGCTGCCCTATCTTAAAGGTCCAAGCCTCCAAGTCAGACCTCCTGGTCTGCCTTCTTTCTGGATCTTTCTCACATCTATACCTCCCACTCCAACCCTACCTCAGAGACAACCCGGCCCAGGTTTCAGCTCTATTCACCTAACCCAGAGCAATGGCCTCTTAAGGTGCTTTAGTCTTGTCATGCCCTTACCCCAGGACGCCACAGAACAAGGACTTCATCCCACTGCCCAGAGCACACCAGTGTGGCCCTAACGATCTTTCCAGCCCTGTGTCCGTCCCATACAGTCTGTTCTCACCCTTCCTCTCGTTCCAGCTCTCCCAGGCTGCCATCCTCCCCAACCCCTCCATCCCACCACAGTGTCATTCCCAGCTCGGGTCCGGCCCCCAGGCCACTGCTTGGCCAGCTGCAGTCTTGCATACTTCCTGAAGTCTATTAGATTGGTCTTCACATCTCATCCTGTTGCTGCACTTTCCGTGCAAGTGTGACCTCCGCAGTGGAATTGTGAGCCAGGACCAGGGAGAGCGGCGATGATGTCTTCTCCGCAGGACTTAGTGAGAGCTGCTGTTGACTCAGAGTGGGCTCCATGCCACATTCTACGCCATCTCTCGAGCCCTGACAGACCCAGGGTGTAGCTAATAATTTAGGAGACTGGAGCTCAAAGAGCTTCATTCTGCCACACATCTAAGTGATGATTAAGCAGGTATCTATACAATGTAAAAGTAGTTAGCAAACACTGAGACCATGAGCTCTGGGAGGCTGTGTCTCACCTGATTGCCACTCTAGCTCAGGGCCTAACACAGTGCCTGGCTCATAGTAGGCACTTGGTAAATAATACAGAAAAGGACTTAAAACCCGCTCCAAGGCCTTTACTGACTTCCACAGGCCCCAGGGGGCTACCTGGGCACCCCCTCCCCATTCCTCTCCATCTGTCCCAAGCCCAGGAAAATGGACCATGCTAGGGGGCCAACACCTGTCACCTCCGTCCATAGTGGGCAGACATTCTTAGATCCACTTTGGGCTTGAGTTTAATTCAAGATTTTTCTTGGTTAGAACAGAGTGGGGGAGCACCCACTCAGTCAGTAGAACATGCAACTCTTGATCTCAGGGTCGTGAGTTTGTTGGGGGTAGAGATCACTTAATAATTAAAAAAAAAAAAAACCTGACAAGATCTCCAACTTAAAACTACCTTAAAGAATGTATGTATTGATTTATAAAATGGAGAAATCCAGAGGTAGAACAGGGCCCAGCCACAACAGAATCCACACGGTCTGTTGTCCTCATTCTCTCCTTCTGTAAAATGGGCTTCTCTCATGTTTGGGGAGCAGATAGGGAAGAAGAGGCCATGGCCTCAGATGGCTCCAGGTTTTACACCATCCCCATCTCCCACCCAGGGAAAAAGAGACAGCTTTTGTCTGTGTCACTGACTTGATCCGTGGATCCTGCAGGGTTCATGGGCCCCACTCAACTCAGTCACTGGCCTCAGGGGATTGGGGGAGCATCCTGCCAGGCTTGCATGTATGCAGGGGGTTAGGGGATAGAGAGCAGAGTCCATGACTGATGGCCCTGCCCCAACTACATGGGGGCACATTTCTGAGAGGAGTGCTGGCAGCAGGGGAAGGGGGCAGGGCTGCCGGACCAAAAAGCAGAGTAGCAGCCTCACTCCCATGCTGGGCTTGGGGAAAGAGGCTGGAGAGTATTGGAAGACCCCTCAGATAAGCCGCAGCCTGGCAACATGCAGAAGCTCCTGTCTGCCCTCAGCAGCCCATGTTCCTGTCAGTTAGGGAGGCGGCCAGTGGAGGTTTGCCCTGGGCACCGGAGGGCTGCCCCCAGGGTTCCTTGCCTCTCCTCCCTCCAGCTCCACATGAGAGCAGCAGGGCCAAGCCACAGACTCCAGAGCTCTGGTCTCTTCCGAGCTCTGCAAACCTGGGAGACCTCCTATACCCAGCTTGTCCTTCCTTTCCCCAGCTGAGGCTGAGCCAAATGATCTCTAGACTCTTCCCCCCACACACACACAAAATTCTGGGATTCTGAGTGTGATGTTGAGGTGGACATACTGTGCACCTAGCCCCCACCCACACCCTACCTCTTCTGTTGCCCTGTTGAGCCGGTGGCTGGCCCCTATCCTTGACATGGGTCGAGGAACAGGGCCACTGTGGGGGGGGATCAGGACACCCCCGTTGGCGGGGGTGGGGGGGAGCGTTTCCACCGGCAGAGATGCCCAGGCTCCTTGTTTACCCATGGAGCCCAGAAGACTCGCAGCAACCACACCCTGGGGAGTAGGTGGAGGGCGGGTAGCGGGCAGCTGTGCCTGCCCCCATGACTCATCCCGAGGTGGCTTGGCTTGGCCCGCCCAGGCCCCGGGGAAGCTGGGGCTACAACATTGGGGCGGCCAGCAGAGGGCATGGGAGGACGCCTCGAGGGAGCAGTGGCCACGAGGGGCAGGGGCATGACATCGCCTCACTGTGACCCTTGGCAGCCTGCTTTGGCTCTGTTCCTGAGGATCCTGAGGCTCCTTCCCTGAATCAGAGCAGACCCTCCTTGCAGTCACAGCTCTAGCAGCTCATGAGACCCTGCCTCCCTGGTTGCCCGGGAAGAGGAGTCAGCAAAGAGTTTGCGGGACTTTGAATAAAACAATCAGTTTGGTCCAGTGCACCTCGGACTTAGCGACACCAGCTGCCTCATCTCCAGCTGAAAGAGAACTTGGGAGCGTCCCAAGGTAGCCGTCCCAGGCCCCAGATGTCCAGCTGGACTTCCCTCCGCCCCAGAGGGGAGGCAGATTTGACCTGGGGCGTCCAGGACCCCAGAAGCCCTGCAGAGGCTTCTGGGCCTGTCCCTCACCTGGGGGCTTAGAAAGGCTCGATGTTTCATCACACACACACACACACACACACACACACACACACACACCTGCTCTCTCGCTCACCTATTCAGCAAGGCCTTACTCAGAAAGACCCAGTTCAGAGCTCTGGGGAGTCACAGCCTTGGCTCCCAGCAAAGTCCCTCAAAGTTCCTGGCAGGACGCCCAAACCCAAACTCAAAGCATCTGCCTGTTCTGACCCATGAAAGAGGAAAGGCAGCTTTACCCACAGGAGAGTGGGCATACTGGGCAGGTGGCTGGGAGCCTTGATGAAGGGAGATCCCTTGATCTGGGCCTTGAAACAGAAGCAGAAGTTCCTCCCTGAGCTGTGGGTAGCTGTTGTAGCTGCCAGCAGCAGGGAGAGCGTCCCCTGGCCATCAGCTCTCCTCCTGTCCCTTCCCCCTCAGAACCTCAAAATCTCTCGACCACCAGGATGCTAATGGCTGATAGAGGCCACCTGTACCCTTCCAGGTGTTTTTAATTTTAATTCCAACGCAATTAACGTGCATTCTATCAGTTTCAGGTGTACAGTAGAGGGAGTCAACAATTCTTTCCCTTACCCTGTGCTCACAACAAATGTGCTTCTCATCCCCTTCACCTATTTCACCAATCCACGCATCTACCTCCCCTCTGGTCACCATCTGTTCTATAGAGAGATTTCTGGGTTTTCTTTTTCTTTGTTTTGTTTCTTAAATCCCCCAGAGGCGTGAAACCAAATGGTCTTTGTCTTTCTCTGGTTGTCTTATTTCACTTGGTATACCCTCTAGGTCTAAGTTGCAAAGGACAAGATTTTGTTATTTTTTATGGCTGAGTAATATTCCATTCTATATCCCATCTTCTTTATCCATTCATCTATGGATGGAGACTTGGGTTGCTTCCATAGCTTGGCTATTGTAAATAATGCTGCAGTAAACACAGGGGTACACACATCATTTTGAACTAATGTTTTCATATTTGGGGGTAAATATCCAGTAGTGGAATTACTGCATCATAAGAGAATTCTATTTTTAATATTTTCATACTATTTTCCACAGCGGCTGCCCCAGTTTATAGTCCCACCAATAGTGCATTTCTCCTCAACCTCACCAACACATGTTGTTCCTTAAGGTTTTCAATTTTAGCCATTCTTCGAGGCACTTTTGAAGATTTTCTTTGAGAGAGATAGTGAGAGAGAGCACAAGTGGGGAGAGGGGACAGAGGGAGAAGCAGGCGCCCCACTGAGCAGGGATCCCATCACGGGGCTCAATCTCGTACCTTTTGCCTTTCTGGGCCCCGGCCAAGTCCCCATGAGGACACAGCTCTGGGCAGCACAGACACCCCGCCCTGGTCCCAAGGCCTCCATGAGCACAGACATGCGTGTGGACAGGCCCAAGTGTACAGCTGTGGCCCCGACCGCCATGCTCTCTGCTGTCCACTGCTCACTCAGCATGGCTGGGGGCAATCTCTGCCACCCACAGCCACGGTGGTCATCCAGCTGGGCCGAGACTTCTCGGCCTTAACCAATGCCCATAAGAGGACCCAAACCTGTGGTCCACATCATGTTTGCCTTCGTCTGCTCATGTTAAGCCTTGGTGCTGATATGTTCTTCCATGGTGCTGATATGTTCCCTGAGGCCTTGTCCCCACACACACGGGGACTCTGGACAGGACGTCCCCTGCTCTTTTCCTGCACTCCTCCTTGGCTATGTAACTGAAGGGCAGGGCAACCTCTGGTGTCCTCCAGAGTAGTGGATTTTGTAACTCGCAGGCAGGGTCACCTCAGCTGTTTCTCTTCTCTGGCCCTTTCTTGGTTCTCTGGGTCTCCCTGACCCAGAGAGTGGGCAGAGACCAGCAGAGGCTTCCTGCCCTCACTGAGTGTGCACTGTGTGTCGGGAGGAGCCCTCTGCAGGGGTGGGGATCGGGGAGCCAGAGGAGCAGCCGCAGGCAGGGTGTGGAGGGGAAGGTGGGAGCTGGCCCTGCCTGCCGGGTTTTATCAGCGAGCTCCTCAGACATATACAGAGGCCGAGCTGTGTATACACTCCCAGTCCCCGCGCTCCATCTGTCTCCCACATGTCTAAACACTGAGGCCGCCAAGTGCCTGCCCTCCTCCTCCTCCTCCTCTCAACCTTATCCCCATAGGGAGGGGGCGGGGAGGGACTCGGTCCCCTTGAGGAGACAGGAGCAGCCCAGGTAGGGTGGCCCACCTCAGGCAGGAGGTCGCTGCTGGGGGAAGGGAGAATGCGAGAGCTCCAGAGGCTGAGGTGCTACCCAGTCTGGAGACAAGGCCTCAGGCGTTAGCTCGGGGATGAAAACCAACCCCGGGGGCAAGACTTTTCCTTAGAAACCAGTTTCTGAATTCCATCCCCCGGGGGAGTAGAACTGGAGTTATCAAATTGGTCTGATCTGTCAAATGGGCAGTCTGGGTCAGCAGCCTGAAAGCCCCGTTCTCCCCCCCCCGCCCCTGCTCACCCAGTGTCCACATCCCAGCTGCCCCACAGGCCTCTCTTCCCTGCCCACCTCCTGTCAAGAAACCTGACCTCCAGGATTTAGGGCCTGGGCTGTCGAAGCCTAGGGGCTCCCTTCAACAGCTGACTGGGTCGGGGAGAATGGGGCTGCCCAATGAGGGCAGTGACAAAGAAAACCCTGGGTGCTTAGGGAGAGGGGCATAGTGGCCTTTGCAGCAGTCCTGAGAGGCTTGTCCCCTCTGGGACAAAGGAGGAACACGTAAAAGCTAGGATTCTCCTCATGCCTCACGAGATCTTAAAGAACAAGTGTCCAGAGGGGGCCATTCCCCTCCAAGCCCAGCTCACTTCCAGCCACCTCGAGATCCCAAGCAGTGTAGAGGTCTCCTCCCTGCACCCCTGTGACTTTGTTCCCCACAAAAGACATGATGTCTCATCCACCTATGGCGGGGAGGGCCCCCAGAAAGGCAGGCAAGAACTGGGCTCTTAATTCCAGTAGAAGGAGCACTTGCCGCTAGCTTCTTATCTCCTCCCAAATATGGAAAATCGTCCTGACCTTTGGGGGTTTGGGTACTTTGGTCCAGAGTGCAGGGGGCAGGGTGGTGCTGGGCAAAGGGTCAGAGCTCCTGGGGGCCTCCCCCTGGCCTTGCAGGTGATGGGGAGGAGCCACCAGACCTTCCCTCTCCAGCTATTGCTGTAGTTCCTGACCTTCCAGCTATGAGATGAGCCAGGAAGGACAGCAGAGAGGTGGTTCTTGGGGCCCAGAGGCAGTCTCAGTGGGTCACTGGCACGTGTCTCTCGTACCTCCAGTGAGTACCACTCTGTCATCCTGGTCGGGGCACGCCCGGAAGTGCAACGAGACAGCCAAGTCCTACTGCGTCAATGGAGGCGTCTGCTACTACATCGAGGGCATCAACCAGCTCTCCTGCAAGTAAGTGACCAGCGGGGGCGGGCAGGGGGCCGAGAGTAGGGCGAGAGAGGCTGGGCCAGAAGCGGAGGGCTCTAGGAAAAGTGGACTTCAAGTCACTGACAGGAGGTCCCCAAGGGGTGTAGACAGGGAGGTGTGCCCCTGCCCCTAGCCCTTTCCAGGTATCTCAGGAGATGTCAACCCCGAAGAGCTTGGGGCTTCTGCAGTGCCAGTTTCACAGGCCCCGACCCAGCCCACCCCACCCCATCTCCCAGTGGCCGCCCTTTCACCAGCACCTTCTAGGGAGATGGAGGTGCCAGTCTGTGCCCTAGGCACTGGGTTCTCGCTCTCTCCCACCCCTCCCGCTCTGTCTCCCCTCGTCTCTCACTTTCTCCCCACCGCCATCTCTCAGCAACTCTCCAAACTGTGTTGATGAACATTTCCCAGGGGGTGTCTTCCCCAGCAGTGAAGAGCTTGGCAGGGTCAAACAAAGCACATTTCCCAGAGCCCTGGGTAGTGGAGGGTCTGCTCTCCTTGCCTTGAGGGGAAATGAGGACTCTGCATCCAGTGCTCACCCCAAAACCTGGCTGCTCTCCCTGCCTGGTGCCCAGATATGCCCTGGGTGCTTCTTGTTCCATTTCCGACCCTGGCCCCTCTCTGTGGGGGGAAAGGACCCCAGTGAGGATACCACTCTGGGTGTGGCCCAGTGAGGGGGGCAGGGTTGAGGAGAAGCTCAGTCTGGGGCTCCTCTACCTCCAGCAAGGCAGGGCTTCCCCAACAGGATCTCCATCCCTTTCCCCTCGGCAAACAGGGCAGCTGAGAGCCCAGCAATCCTCAAGGATTTATTCAGGTCCAGCTGGGTCCTATTCCACAGCTGGGCCCACAGGGCCCCCGACACACTCTCTCGTGGGTGAATGAGGAGCCGCAGGGTGAGCTTGGTGAGAGCAGCACAGGTTCCAGTCAGATCGAGGAGGGGTTGAGGGGGCACTAGTTAAAAACTTTGGGTTTTCAGAGGACCCCAAGCCTAGGACCCCAGCAAGGTGCCACAGTTGCCCCATTCCCATGGCATCTGGGCAGAGGCCACCAGAGTACTGGGGGAAATTGAGAGAGGCGTTTGCCCTCCCCACGGACAAAGATTCAGCGCTTCTCAGCTCTCCTGCCTCTGGGCTCCAGCTCCAGAGCTGCATGCCCCCCCACACGGACTATAGCCTTAGCCCGAGACCCCTCCACCCCACAAGGTGATAATGAGGGGCCAGGCCTCCTAGACAGTTTCCCCTCAGTGCCAAGCTGGGTGAGCCTGGACTGCCAGACTCTGCCTCTTGCCCCAGCCAGCTTCCTTTGCTGGCTTCCCCCCAGCCACAACCTCCACCGGCTGCCTTCCCCTTACTGGCCTCCCCTGTGCTGAATTTCCGGGGACTGTCCCGGAAGCAAAAGAAGGTCCCCCAGGGAAGTTCTCAGCCTGGACTCAGCCCCTCTTCTCCCTTCTTCTGCCTCTAGGAGGCTGCCACATTCACGAAACCAACCCTGGGGAATATTCTAGCTATGAAAATGCTCTGAGCTCTCTGCAGTAGATCTATAGAAACTCATAAGTGTTCTGGTATACCTCACAGACATCCCCCAGCCCTGTACGCCCCTCCCCTCTGGCTTTTACCCCCTGGCACACACACGCACACACACACACGTGGGCACACACCAGGCCTTTCCTCTATCCCTAGCCCCTTGGACCCTGGAACCTTGAAGGAATCCAGCAGCATCACTGAGATCAGCCCTGGCTCCTGGCAGGGAAGGTTTCAGCCACCCATAATGGGTGCCGGGGCCAAAGAAGGCCATGGGGGCCCAGGGCTCGAATGCTAGTGTTGAGTGTGGAAAGGGTAGGAGATGAGCTATATGGGTTTCCACAGGGTCCTGCCAGCAAGGCTGTACCCCTAGGAACCTTGGAGTCACACCCAGCTAAATCAGAGAAGCAGAGGGCAGGAGCCTCAATCATTGCGAAGATGGTGTCCCATGGGCAACTGGGGTTCACTGTTTAGAACTTGAACTTGGTACCCCAATCCACTGCCTCCCCATTTCAACCTGCCCTAGGTCAGCCCCAGCCAGGGCTCCTGGAACCCGACTTCCCTGACTCCCTGAGCCCTCAGGGGAGAGGGGCATCCCCTGTGAGGATCACTCTCAGGAGGGCAGGTCCTCAGAGCTGTGCTGGAGAAGGACAGGGGGGAGGGGGGGCAGGGCAGAACCCAGAGGCCATTCTGGGGGCGGGTGAGCCGGGAGGGAAAGGGGGGCAGGCCTCTTGGGATTCCTGATGACACCTGAACGGAATAAAAAGGAAAGAATCTAGGAACTGAAACTCACGTCTTACCATTTGTGCTGTTTGTTTACTTTTTATTTTGATTTTTTTGCATTTCCGCTTAGCTTGGATAATGAAACTAGACTGGTCAGTTTCATTCCAGTTTCTATAAAACTCAGTTTTCCTTCCTGGTTTTCAGACACTTGTTGTTGTGTATTGGTTCAGAGCCCTGCAGGGAGTGTTGGAAAGCAGGCACACTCCGTCCCTCCTGTTTTTCTGGAATTCAGAGCCAAACTAAACAGTGTCATGGATACTGAATTTTGTTTAAAAAAGAAAGAAAAAACTTAGGGGGATTGGAAAATGGGGGTCCAAATCCAGGCGACTGTCCCCTGTCTGGGCGAGACAGGGGCCTCTGTACTTCTTCTCGCTGCTTTCTCCTCTTCTCTCCGTGTTTTTGTGGAGCACGGTTGGTGCGTGACTCTTGGGGACTGGTTCAGGGGATGATGACAGAACAAGACTCTTTCCAGCCCTGTGCACATACCAGCGGCATGCCTCCCTCTCCCATCCGGTTCATCCCCCCACCCGCCCCCCCACCATGTTCAGGCGGTTCTCCCATGCCATACCCATCTGCCTGCTCTCCTCTCCACATCTCCACCTCACCCCCTCATGAGGCCAGAGACCCTCCACCCCCCTCAGTGCCCGGGGCACACCCTCATCTTTCATCCTCCCCCTGCCCCGGGTAAGGGCAGCACACATGGCATTATCCCCAGGCTACCAAAAGGAGACACTGAGGCCCGGGAGGTGGGTGGAAAATGGGGAGGCAGAGTCCCAACCTCTGTCACCCCAGATACAGCCCATGGGCTCTCCTCTCTGCCCCTGTCTCACCTCTGCTCTTCTCCAGCCCTGGGCACAGACCTTCCCATAGTCACAGCAGATGACTCGGGGAAGGGCTGAGAAAAATGACCTGCCGCTCCTTCTTATCTGTCCCCTGGGCCCCTGAAACTCAGAGGGCCCATCCCTGTGTCCATGGGAAACTACCCACTACCAGCCAGCTCCTCACGTGGTGTCAGACACCCGCCCCCCGCCGCCTCGTGGTTGATAGGTTTCTGTAGCCCCTACCCCATTACCTGGTCCTGAGCACAGGGTGGCAAGGCTAGAGGCTCACCCCCAGAACCTTCCCCAGGGAGGCCCCAGGCTCCTGAACGTGGCTCATTCTCAGCAGGCAGGAGTAAGGAGAGTCCAGGAGCCCGGTGGAAAGATCTAGTACCCAAACAACACTATGGGTGTCAGTCCCCCAACCCCTGCATATGCCCATCCCCCACTGCTTTTTCTTTTGTTCAGCCAGTGGGGAAGATGCTTTCCCAGGGCACAAGATTAGGACCATATTACATAACTCCAGAGGGCGCATTTGTGTTAGACACTGTGCCCATGGTGCCACCTGGAGTTCTGTACAACTCAGTGGCCATGAAGGATAGGAGAGGATAGTTGGGTTAGTTCAGGCTGGGTGTGGGATCAGGGATGCAGGAAAGGTCTCCAAGAGCCATGGGACAGCATCCCTGATGGTCAGCAGTGGGAATCGATTTCCCCTTCGCCCCCTCCTGCCCCTACATTACCCCCTCTCGCTCTTAAACACACACACACACACTCGAGCCGGGCTAATCTCAGACACTGGACACAGTCAAACCTATCTCTTTCCCATTCCTCTGTGGATTCCGAGAGTCATTTTGGCAACTTCCTGGGTCTTTATCCTCCATCCCCAAAGGTGCTGCTGCTTTGATAGTCACTTCTCCCCTCCAGCCCTCATCCCAAGTGGACAGCAGTCTGAGAGCTGCGGAAGGAGAGCTGAGCCTTACTGGAGCTGGTTGGGAAGCCTTAGCAACTACCTCCATTTTCCTGGAATGGGATGCTTAGACCAGAGTAGGGTGTACGGACAAGGTGTGAGCTGCCGCTGCCTCCTCCTCCGAGCCACCCTGTTCAACAGGATGAGGGTCCCTTGGGTCCCACTGCAACCCCCACCATCTTCTCCAGACACACTTCCCAGCCCCACACCGCTACCCCCAGCCAGGCATGCCTGCACACACTCCCACCACCGCAGGGACCAGCCTCCTGCCTCTCCTGCGGGAGACACCCTCAAGGCCCAGAGAAACTCCAGCTGCCGGTCCACCAACCACTCCCAGTCCCTCAGGCTAGACTGGGGCAACAGGGGCTCTGTGAGTGTCCATCACAGCCAACGGCAGCCATCCCGTTAGCTCAAGGGGTTACTGATGGTTGGGACACACCAGAATGCTAAGAGGTAGAGTACACTCAACCTCTTGAGAAAGTTTACTGATTCGTGTGAAACAGTGACCTATTACCTAGAGAATACTGGCGATGGAGTTACCCAATTCCCCAACAAGGAAAATGAGGCAGAGGCAGAAGCAGCCCAAACCCATCTTTGAGTAGGGGGATGGGGGTGGGATGGTCAGTCTGGCCTGGTCTCTAAAGCTTCCCTCAGGTATCTGGCCTTGCCAGGGTTCAGAGGAGAGTACAGGGCTAGGCAGGTCTCCCAGAAATCTGCAGGACAGGGACTCACTTGAGAGCAGAGTGGCAGCCAGAGAGCAGAAGACAGTGTGGCGTGGGGGTAAAGACAAAGTCAGGGAGCGTGGGTGCTGCCTTTCGGCTACAGAGGACCCAACACGGGAGAACACGCTCCCACCCGAGCCAGGCAGTGATGGAGGAGCAGGGCACGGGGAAAGGACAGGCGGCCCAGGCAGCCAGGAGACCCCCGGCTGGAAGAGGTTTCAGGGTCCTCCAGGAGCCTGCTTCCACCCTCCCCCACCACTGTGGTTCTTGCCATTGAGGGGTGATGTGAGATGCTGGTTCTTGCCACTGAGGCCAGCTGTGAGATGCTGGTAATCCCGGCTCCTCTCCAGCCTCACCTGTTCCCTGCCCTCCCCGCCCCTGTGTATTGCTCCAGGGCAGACTTCCCCAAACCATGTTCACAAGTGTGCCTCAAAAAAAAACCATCTTCCATGGTCAAATAAACTTGGGACCTACTGGAATATTCAGCTCTTTTCCTCCTACGAAACTCTTCCTAGCCTTTCAGATGCCAGCGCGCACTGCAACTCTACAAGGAAACCTGGGGATGGATTTCCTAAATTTATTTGGCCACAGAACCCTCTTTGAGAGAACAGATGAAACCTCTCCAAGGTCACTTTTGTCACAGGCACACAGTCTAGAAACAGCATTCCGGAGTTCTCCTTTGAGCTTTCTGGGGGCTGTTTCATGGATGAGAAAACCTGCCCAGGGCCCTGGAGAGAAGCCGTTGGTAGGGCCTGGAAGGAGTGGTTTCCCAGAACTTGGTGTTCTGGAAGATTCCCAGCACTCTGCCTGCCTGCCTGGCACTGAGGGGCTACCGTTCTGGCTTCACGGGGTCCCAGGCAGGTCAGAAGGGAAGTGTCACCAACCACAGGGCAATTAGGCATGAGGTTCCCAATCTTCCCACCCACTTCTCCCTAAATCATCCTCCTCTCCGCCCCACCCCCGCCCCCACCACCCACCCACCGAGCCACATCTATTAGAGAGATTTGGAAGATTTCTGAGCCCTTCCCCCAGCCCTGACTCCAGCCCCTGCAGCGACGAGTGTGCCCCAGCGCCCGACTTGGTTTTCTCATTCATCACTGTGCACTTTGATTTCTAACCTGAGCCTCGCGGATGATGCCAGTTTGTTCTGTGATTTTTCCCCTTTTCCTTCTCCAGATGTCCAAACGGATTCTTCGGACAGAGATGTTTGGAGAAACTGCCTTTGCGATTGTACATGCCAGATCCTAAGCAAAGTATGTTTGAAGATACAAACACAAGTCCCTGCTCCTTAGAAAGCTTTTGGGTGCAGTCCCCCCAATGTAGGGCATAGGGCCAGGGGTGTTGGTTGTTTTGATCTTTGGCTGTTTTTTTTTTTTCTTTTTTTTTGTATTTTGGTTCGTTAGTTCTTTTGTTTTGTTTTGTTTTGCTTTGTTTTTCATTTTTGGCCTAATCCTTGGGTTGCAAGTTCAGGGCTGCAGGTAAGGGGCAGAGTGGCGAGGCCAGTGCAAGCGCTAACGGTGGCAAGGAACCCAGCTGGCACTGGCAGGAGCCCGTGCCGGGGTGTTGCCGTGTCTGTGGCTCGCTATCCTGGCTCTCTCTTTCTGGTTTTCTTTCTTTTGGTAGGTGTCCTGTGGGATACACCGGGGACAGGTGTCAGCAGTTCGCAATGGTCAACTTCTCCAGTATGTCTCTTTTTTCTATTTCTTTCCTATCCTGGTGACTGACAATCTCCCCCCACCTCTGGAGCGGGCGGGCTGGGGCCTTATTAGTGAGACTTAGCGGGGAACCGAGGGATGGGGGTTGGGGAGAGTGGTGGTTGTCCTGGGCTCCTTTTGGCCCTCAGAGCTCATTCACCTGGTGCCTACCTGGAGGAGAGGGACAGACTTCCCTGCCCCAACCCCAGCCCACCCACCTCTTCCTCTTTTTGGGGCACTGGGTGCCATAATGCTGCCTTCTCGGTGATGAAAAAAATGCTCCCCCCCCCCCCCCACCCAAACCCCACCCGCTTCTTCCTCTTTTCAGGGTGCTGGGCGTAATAATGCTTTCTCAGAGACAGATAAGCTTCCCGCCCTACCCCCACCCGCCTTCTCCCTCTTTTTGAGGCACTGGGCACAGTAACAGTGCCTTCTCGGAGACGAATGTGCTTCTCCCCCACCCCGCCACCCCACCTCCCTCTTCTGGGGGCACTGGGCACAATAACCCCAACCTTCTGGCCCAGGCAGCGGCAACCCCGCTCAGGTCTGGGCAGCAGTAAGGGAGAAGCCTAAGCGGAGCCCTCACTTGCCTTTTAAGGCCTGTTTGAGGAGGTCATGTGCTACAGGGCCAGGCCACAAGTGTGTGCACGTGTGGGCCGGTGCGTTTGAGAGAAACAAGTTCTCGGAGAGCCTGTCTCTGGGTCTGGCCAGAGTTTATCTGGCTTTGATTTGGGGGTGATGGGAGACAGTGGGGAGGGGGGGTTGTGGGAGAACAAGCCCCAGGGCAGTGGTTTCCATGGAGGCCAGAGACCAGAGGCATTTCTGAGGCTCCAGGGATAGGGTGGGATGGGGGTTTGCTGCCTGCTGCAAGACAGAGGGAAGGAGGATTCAAGGGATAATGGGTGATTCTCTCCAGGCCCTCTCTGGTCTCAGTCCCCATCCAGAACTCCATTCCCTTCCTTTCTTCTGCTTGTGAGGTTGACGCTTTCAGTTTGATGGTTAACTGAAAAAAATATGAGCCCTGCAGCAGAAAGAGGAGACCACAACTGGGGGGTGTTTTGAGGCTGGGAGCAATTTCTTCAAGTGCCACCAGGTGGAGGTGGAGCAGAGCATAAAGCCCTGGGCAGGCCTGTGGACTCCGGGACTCCGTGTGGGGCCCACTGGTCCTCCAGAACACTCCAGGCCCCTGCTCGGCCCACCCCCACCTCCTCTGCTTCAAGGAGGACAGCCCATGAAGAATGCCTGGGCACGGAGAGGTGGAGCTCCAGAAGAGGCTGAGAGCAGGATGGGGGGAGGGGCAGAGGAGCATTTAGGTGGCCCTTGAGAGAAAAGGGCTGTGCTGGTTTGGGTCTCAGGCTGGAGTGAATGAGTCTTCCCAGTCTTCCTTAGGCCACAACACAAAAGCCTAGAAATCATCTCCTCCCTCTCCCTGCTAGAGCCTGGGAGCCAAGACTCGAAGAGGAAAGTAGAGGCCCCAGAGAGGGGGGCTGGACTGCCCAGATGGTCAGCTGTCCTGATGAGGTGGCACTGTCCCCAGGGCCCTCTGGTTGGAGGCCAGGGAGGAAGGCTGTGGGGCTAAGGATGCTTCGGGGCTAACAGAATGCTTCAGAGTCCAGGCTCCCGGAAGAATCACAGAGTCCAAGCCAGCCCCACTGGAGGACCAGAGGTCAGGAGGGGCCTTGGGAGGGAACAGAGCAGCAAGGCCGAGGCTAAGGACCAGGGGAAAGAGGCAGTGGAGGGCCTATTCCTTTGCACCCTCAGTCCCAGAGCCTCCCTGGCTTACAGGACTGTTCCGGACAGGGAGTCCCAGCCCATTGTGAATCAGAAGAGCAGAGCCTCCAGAACTCGGCCACTGGCCAAGCCTCTCTGCCAGCTGGGCTGCTTCAACTTTCAGTTCAGAGCACCTCAGAGGGTCAGCAGGGCCCCAGGAGCCCAGAAAAAGCCTAGAAATGCTGCCACAGGCGTTTCTGCCTAGTGTTACCAGGATCGTTGCTATTACCTTCCCGTGGAGGATTGATATTCTTCACGCCATTGGCCTAGAGCACTTCGAGCATTGTTCTAGCAGATACTGAAAAGGCAGTAGAAAATGCTAGCTAGTTTAAGTGTCAGGCTTTGGATTCAGACAGATCTGAATGACGATGCGGCTGTGGAGCGTACCAGTTCTGGGGCCTCATTTAACCTCTCTGTTTGTTTTCTCATCTGCAAAATGGGAATGGTAGCATTTATGCCTCGAGGGTTGCCGTGAGGATGGAGTGCAGTGATGGGTAGGGAGGGCTTAGCAGAGAGTCTTCTGCCCTGCGTAGTGGGAGGGCAGTTTAGCACTGCTCCCGGCTACAGCGGCTGGGTGGAGCGGGCAGGAGGGCCAGCACCAGCGCCCTGCAGCCCGACTCCCAGCAAGTCCTTAGCTAAGGGTCTGACCCTCCCCTTCCGCCCAGACAGCCTCTAGATCAGATGACCTTTTGCAGTGGCCACGGAAAGGGAGCCTACAGCCACAGTAGCACTTTGAAACTTCTCCTTCTTCCCCTGACAGCCCCTCCATTTCCCAAGAGTCACACCTTGTGCATCCATGTACCCACCCCAAGTGAAAGAACACACACACCTACGGGCATACACACATGTAAGCATATACTCACACGTGTTCACACACACATGTGCTCACACATGCTCAAACACGCAAGCACATGCCTGGACTCATGGAAAACATGCACATCTGCTCGCCGCCCCCCCACCCTACCCCCCCGGCACACACCTGTGCAAACGCACAAGCACGTGTTCTCCTCAGGGGTGCCCATCATGGCTGCCTCGGCCAGGCCCCCAGAACTGCGTGTCATTGGACATGGCCAGGATGAAGACTGTACGTTGTCTGGTAAACCTGGCCCTCATGGAGATCTGGCAGCAGGTTGCCATGGTTACAGGTCAACCTGCACACTTCCGCTCAGTGGCACCTGTCTGTGGTTCAGTTGCACCAGCCCATCCTGGCTGAGGGGCAGCCTGTGAACATGATGAGCGGGAGACACCTTTGGCGGGAGCAGACTCAGCCACAGGCCCTCAGACTCCAACCCGGGTGAGAGGGAAGCAGGGCTGCCTTCCTGAAGATGGCAAGCTCTCAGGGACCTCACCAGTCCTATCAGCCACCACTGGCCCACCCCACATGGGACTGGCTTTGACTGACAGGGGAGGCCCCTTAGGAGGCCCAGACACTGCCCCAGCTGCTGCTCATTGGTTCCCAGAGCAGGGAAGCTGAAGAAAACTCTTCAATGGCTTTGGGACCCCACTGGCTTCTCCAGGTGATCATTTTCCTCATGACTAGTCAGTTGGGCCCAGAGACTCACAGGAATGGCACAGGAAATTCCTGCTCATAGCCCCCACGTCCTCCTTCCTCTAGAGAGGGAAATGTCAGAACACAATCACCTCCCTGGATTTTGAGAGCTGACTGCACACGGGGAGGCTGTAGACCAGGCTCCCGTACACGCACTGAGCGTCCTGCTGTCCAGGCCGCTCACGTCTTCCTCTCACTGTGGACAGCCACTTTTGACAGATGAGGAAACTGAGGCTAGACTCGCCCACATGCACACAGCGCATGAGGGACAAAACTGAGTCTTGGAGCCTGCACAGTGGTGCGGGCCACGTGAGAATGGTAGGTGAGCTTTCCAGAAACACTGTTGAGATTCCTGGGCTCCCAGCCGAGCCCCTGATCCCATTGTCTGGGATGACTGGGATGCACAGCCAATGGCAGAGTTCCCAGAGATCCAATGTAACCGAGACTGAGAGGTGGATAGGCCGGGTGTCCTTGAAGATGCAGTGGATCTGGTGCAGGGCTGACCCTTGGGCAGGGCCTTTTGATCTAACCCCTCCACAGTGTGGGTGCCCACCTCACGGAGTTCTGAAAGTCCACATTTACAATAGGATCCCACTTCAGAAAGTGCAACTGCCCACTATCCCACACGCATGTTCCACAGCGGAACCCACCTGGCTCTTCCTACAAGTTGCATTTGGCTTTCCTAAGTAGTAGAATCAAGATCAAAGCCCAAGGCCTAGGCCCTGGAGGCTTCTAGGGTGTTGGAGGTGTCCTGTGGAGAAGTGACCTGCTGCCCAGAGCCTCCTCTCCCCATAAACTCGGGAGTCTCCGTGCCAAGGCTCCCAGTAGGTGGGTAGGCCAACCACACCTTTGGGGGCAGGACACAGACAAGGGCCACTCTGGGGCCCCCACACCCTTGTTCTGAACAGAGAAAAGCGCCCCATGAATGAGCTTGGGGCTGAGCAGGTGGTCTCCAGGGGTGTGAGAATGTGGAAGGCCTGGTGCTGGAGCTACAGGGACGGGGGAAGACAGGGACTCCTCAGACCACCACCCCCACTCACCTTTCCTCCCTGGGGACATCTGCCAACTGACTCTTGCGCCTCTGCCTCCCCACCAGGTACTAACCCCACAACTCATCTCTAAAGAACCTGCCCTGCCTGCCGACCCTAACATTTCTTCTCTCCACCTCCCTCGGGGCTCCTGGGGACTGGGTGCCAGGGCAGGGGCTCAGGAGGCCGGGAGGGGACGCCACTAACCTGCTTTCACCTCACAGGCTGGCTGCTGGTGTCTGAAGAGTCCTGACCAACGTTTCTCTCTCTCTCTCTCTCTCTTTTTCTCTCTCTCTCTCCCGCCCTCCCCCACCCTCCCCGCTCTCCCATCTCTTTCTGTATCCGTCCCTCTGTCCCTCCCCTTCTCTGACCCTCCTCTCTTCCGCACTGCCAGAACACCTTGGATTTGAACTAAAGGGTACGGAGCTCTATGTATCCGTCAGTGCCATCCACACTGCCCCCCTCCACAGCCTCTGCCACCACGTGTGCTGTCCGTTGAGTCTCCTTTCCAAAACACAGAAAAGGGATAAGTCCAAAAATCTCCCCTGGCCCCACCAAGACGTCCGATCCTAAACGACATGGATTTGGGGGAGACAAGAAGCTCAGAATAGCAGAACACCCCAGGTTCAGCAGTGTCCCCTGGCTTGAGGCCCATTCCTGGGGGGCCTCCCAGGGGAGCAGCCTCCTGGGCTGTGCCGCCCTCTGGGTTGTCCAGACGAGAGCCAGGCGCCCAGAGAGTGGGTGTTGGGAAGCCACAGCATCCCGGCTTGGAGAGTTGTACATAGAGGCCTCCTCTTCAGTTCCACTCTAATCCTTCCTGTTCCCACTTCCATTTCCATTGCTTTTCATTCCGCACTGCCCTGGCAGCCGATTGCACCCATTTGTCTCTTCCCCCTGCCCTGTATATGTCTGCCAGGCTTTGCCATCTGCTTGAGGCTGTCACCCCTCCATGATCAGTCTCCACAATGGCACACATATTCTTCGCCTGTAGGCAAGACAAGCGAGGGTCTAGGGTGGGCTGGCCTCTGGTGCTTGCCCTCCTGCTCCCCGACTCAGAACCTTACCTCCCTCTGGCTACCGGCCCCCCACCCCGGCCCCTGGGAGACACCTTGAGTGGGAAGGGACTGGGAGGGGTCAGTGTGTCCTCTCTCCGTGCTGGGAGGCTCCGCCTGGCCTCAGAGTCCAGACAGGTTACAGCAGGAGTGAGGCAGGGCTCGGAGGGGTCAGACCCCAGACGCAGTGCAGAGCCTGCAGTATGAGAAGGCCGTTCCCGAGGCAGGACTGGAGAGGCCCCGGCTCCCTCACAGCCTCGTGCCTGTCCGCTCTTCTCAGGAGATGGAGCTAAAGTCTGTGAAGAGTGTGTCTGCCTGCGGATGGTGACAGGCTGGAAGGACAGGGGCTGAGTCTGCATGGCATGTGTGGTCATGGCAGGGTGCGTGAGGTGAACCTGCGGGGCGTGTGCACAGTGGTGGTGGATGTCACACCTCTCGTTAGCGCCTGCGGTGCATGAAGGAGTGCAGTGGGACATCTTTAAGGGTGAGCGTCATGCAGGTACAACTGCGAGGGTTTGGAGGTGAACAGCAGGGTGCCCAGGCGTGTGTCTGCATCTGTAATGGCAGCCAGGATGTCCTTTCATGCGCCAGCTCAACCAACATCTACTGAACCCCAGAATTGCCAGACTCTGGTGATCTGAGCACCCCTGCCCTCCTGGCGCTCACACAGGATGAGACAGACAGCAGACAGGATAGATAACAGGTGGTGGTAAGTGCCATACCAAAAATAAAAGAAGGTAATGGGAGGGTACCTCGCTGGGGAAGCAGTCACCTTAGCTGAGTGGCCAGGAAAGGCTCATGTGACAGGCTATCATCTGGGTTAAAACCTGATGGAAAGTAGGCAGCCCTGCCAAAAACTGGGGGAGAGTGTTTGAGGAGGAGACACGGCAAATTAGTGACAGTGGGTGGAGTGGGCTCACCTGATTCAGTGCATGGAAGGAATGGCAGCACCTCCAGGCACAGCAGACATAGGGACCAGACCAATGATGAGATATAAAGGCCAGGCTGGGACCATAACCCAGACCTGCAAGGTTATGGTGCATGTGTGGGCTGGATTCGAATTGCAGGGAGAGGCTGTTGAGGGTTTTCAGCAGAGGAGTTGATGATCTGCTGGCTTTGGGGCGGAGAACAGCCTGGGTTGGGAGACAGGCTGGGAAGGAGTGAAAGCAGAGAAGCCAGCCAGAAGGTGCCCAGCTGTCCAGGTGAGAGGTGACATCATCCTGGACTGAGCTAGAAGTGGTGGAAGTGGTCAAATCCAGAATCTACTGGGGAGGCAGAATTGAGAAGACGACCTGAAGCACCAGGTGTCAGAGCCGGTGCGGAGAAGAAAGCCATCGGCAGTGATTCCAAGGTCTGGGGCCTGAGCAACAGGAGAGGGGATGCTGCCACTGATGAAATGGGAAGGGCAGGGAGCAGGTTTGGAAAGAAGCTGGGGAATCAGCACTTCTGCTTGGCTGTGGCCCTTGGGCAGAGGAATCTGGAGCTCAGGGAGAAGTCCGGTCAGGAGATACAAAGTTGAGAGTCACCTGCATACAGATGGCATTTAAAGTCTGAGCTGTGTACAATCATGAGAGGAGAGAGGGCAGGCGGAGGAAAGAAAGAAGCCTGAGAACCCCTTCTACCTTGTGGTCCACAGAGAAGAGTAGGCAACAGCAACTTAACATGTCAGCCAGTGAGGGAGGAGGACACCCAGGGGGAGTGGACCCAACAGGGGGAGTCACCTGGGAGGGAAGCAAATGACCAGGGGACCTGGCAGTAGGAGGCTGTCAGTGACCAGGACCAGAGTGGTCTCGGGGCAGTGATGGAGACAGATGCCCCATTGGAGAGGACTGGGGGGTGGGCAGGGATGAGAACTGGAGGCAGGACGTGGACCACAGAGCCCCGAGATGGGGGGTCCAAGGTGGAGGGCTGTTGAAGACTGCATGATCGTGTGTGTGTGTACGTGTGTGTTTCTCTGGACACATGCAAGTGTACCTTTGTGAAGGCGTCTGTCTGCATACAGAGAGGCAGAGTCCGAGAAAGGTGTGTGTCTGGAGGGTTTATACTCCCAGTATTTGCTGGTGAATGTACGCAAGGGGTGCTGCAAGCCCAGGAACTTAGGAACATTTCCCAGGGCTCTACCTAGGTCTTGGGGTCTAGCCTCCACGTGTCCCTGTGCTGGGGAGAGGGAGCCACACAGAGGGGCCAGCTGGCAGGTGTGGGGAGGGGCAGGGTGTGTCTAGGCTGCTGCTGTCACCTTTTTCCTTTTCTTCCTCCTGGTCTTCTCTGCTCTAGAAGGCAGGGGTTGCCCTACCAAGAAGTGGGAGGTGGAGGAGATAGTTGGTTCTTTTTGGAGGGTTCTGAAGCCCAGCCTAGCTCAGATCCTCAGAGAGGGTGGGGGCTTCACCTCGAAAACAGGGCACCAGGGGTTCTGCTGCCTCTCGTGGGCTTCTGGAAAGCAAAGGGAAAGGCTCGAGTGGGCCACGGCCGTGTGCTATCCAGGCCCAGGGACAAACCAAGGCCTTTCTCTCCATACCCCACTCCCTGGGTCTGATCTGCTTTGTCTCTGCTCCTGGCATCCGTCCTGGGTCCATTCTCTGGGTCGGATGTCCTGTCACCAGCCCAGGACAAGTCCTCTCCAGCTTCTTGGCAAAGCTGAAATGGCAAGCCAGGCCTTTGCCCGGGGGCCACGGTACGCTGCTGTGAAGAACAGCTCTCCCCCACCCATCCAGGCTCTTTGAAGCCACCAGGCCATTGTGGAGTAGGAAAAGGTTGCTGGTCAAGCTGGGTTGCCCTCCCCTGCAGCATTTGGAATTTCACCTCCATCCCATCCACGCCCATCTGCCTGCATTTGTCATTCATGCGCTCTGAGCAGGGTGTATGGTTTGGGAAGGTGAATTCAGGGGTAGTCCCTTGGGACCAGATCCATGGATGGGTAGACTTTGGGACAACAGAAGGCAATTCAGGAGGGAGGGGCTAGCTGGGAAAGGAGGAGATGCAAAGGAGCTGGGAGGCCCTGAAGCTTTGGGGGTGGGGAGGGGGGTGTCTCTGCATCACTGTCCCCACAGATCTGCCTCCTGCCCTGCCCCCTCACCTCCTCTTTCTCTGCCTCTGCAGAAGCCGAGGAGCTGTACCAGAAGAGGGTCCTGACTATCACCGGCATCTGCGTGGCTCTGCTGGTGGTGGGCATTGTCTGCGTTGTCGCCTACTGCAAGACCAAGTGAGTGTCAGACTCTCTGGCCAGTGCCTCCAGGATGGCCTTTGTGAGGACAGTCTCTCTTCCTCCCCCTAACCCTCCTATGCCCCAACAGCCTCTTCAGGAGCCTCTGAGCTGATGCAGGGCCAAAGGGCTAGGCCAAGAAGCAGGAGCAGAGAGGGTGGAAGAGACTGGCCCCAGGGGAGTGAACAGAATCATCAAAAGCACAGATCCGGGTTCGAATTCAGCTCTCCCATGTCCCACGACCCTGAGCAAACTGATGGACCTTGAGTCCTCATCTATAAAGTAGGAACGATCCTAGTAGTACCTCGGAGGACACATGTACAGGACAGATATGAAGGAGAATCTGGCCTGTCAAGAAGGCACCACAGGGGCAGTATTGGGGGTAGGCAAACACAGAAAGGAAGGCTATATTCCCAGCGGCCAAAGAGACCTCAGGAGGCACTGTCTAGTCCCACGTGGGAGAGGTCTAGGCCAGAACACAGAGAAGATGGGGCCAGGTCACCTCTGGGCAGAGGAAACATGAGGGCAGAACCTCAGGGAAAGGGAAGAAGGGTGCAGGAAGGAGACTAGGGCAGTTCCCAGAGAATAGTGGGAGCTGACAGGCAAATGCTGGAAAGGATCGGTTTCCTAGAGCATGAGCAGCCCAGACTAGTTGGAGCAAAGGCCTGGGGTCAGCAAAAAGAGAGGCATGAGTCTAAGGAGATGACTGGAAACCAGATGGTACCATAGGGCACTGAACCCCAAGCTAGGGGGCCTGGGTTTATCCTGTAAATGATAAGGGAGCTCATGACATCTGTGGAGTGATGTAGTACAGAAAAAATGATAGGTCTGTCATGTCCGTTCTTATCTGGAAAGCAAGGGTCTGGGCATAACCACCATTTAGGGTACTGAGTCCCTCCATCTTGACTCCTGCTGTGTCTATCCGTGGGATCTAAGGCCCTGCCAGCCTTGGGAGTTAAGGGTCAAAGTGCCCAGAGGAGACTGGGCCTAAAAAGGAAAACTGAGATCAGGAACTGGAGGGCGGGGGGGAACCCCTATTCTAACCACCAGCATTTATGCATTTCTTGGACAAACTTCATTCAATGCCTGCTGGCTACCAGGCCCTCCACAGGCTCTTGGCCAGTGCTCTAAGCAAGGTATCCAGTGTAACGGGATACATTTCAGGGGTGCCTAACCTCAGCTGGAGCCCAAGAAGGGTTTCCCTGAGGAAGGAGCTTTTAGGCTGAGCCGGGGAGAAGAGCAGGAGCTGGCAGGTGAGGAGGCTGAGTGCGTTCCAGTGGGGAGTCGGAGCACACGTGCAGAGCCACAGAGGCCAGAGGAGGCCGGCACTGGGGAGGGGCAGGAGCAAGCCCTAAAGGAAACAGTACACTGGGGTGCAGAGAGGGCCGTGAGCGAGGGCCTGTGGAGGGTGTTTAGTGGGGGAATGACTGGACTGGGCTTGATCTTTACAGAACAGAGGTACTGGGCACTTAATATGGCCACAGTAAAGTAGTCCCACGAGCCCCTGACCACAGCTCCGTGTCTGATTGTCCTCGGTGCACTTGACTGAAAGTACCTTGCTCATTAATTTGTTTACGTATCTATTATCTGCCTCCCCTACTGGCCTTCGAGTTCCGTAAGGGTAGGGAGGGATTGTGTCCATTGCCTTCTCTGTTCCAAAACAGTATCTGGCACATAGTAAGAACCCAAGAGAGAGCGAGTGAATGAATAAATGGACCAGTGCTTGAGTATTTTATCAGCTCTTAATTCTCAGTGGACTTTGCACTGGGTTAGGGGTCACCCAGTTTACGATGAGGAAAGTGCAAAGTGGCAAGAGTAAGTAACTGGCCCAGGATTACACAGCTAGGAAGCGGTGGGGTTCTAGTCTCTCAGCAGAGCCAAAGCTCAGAACCGCTGGGCTCAGGTGTTGCCGAATTGAAGCTGGTGATGACAGTGGAGGCGGCAGGGGCGTGGTGTCCTGGCTGAAAGCAGTAGCAGGAGACTGCCCCGGCATCATGGGGCCAGCGGTTAGAAGAGTTCCCCTGGGGGGCCAGCTTGGGAATGTCATCCTCACTGTGGGGGGCACGCCAGGCTAACACTCCCTTCTTCTATGCAGAAAACAACGGAAGCAGATGCACAATCACCTCCGGCAGAACATGTGCCCTGCCCACCAGAACCGGAGCTTAGCCAATGGGCCCAGCCACCCCCGGCTGGACCCCGAGGAGATCCAGATGGCAGATGTGAGTGGTGTTCCCAGAACCCCCTTGGAGCCCTCCCTGGAGAGCCAGCCTTGTCTTGTGCCCTGCCAGACCAGGGCAGGGCAGCAACAGGCCCATACCATGTTCAGCCTTGCCTGCTTACCTAGCCTCACCAGGATGACTGGCCTTGCTTTGCCCACTTCCTCAAGGCATTGATTTGCTGGGACCTTCGCTGCCCTAACACCAAGTCCCTCACCCAGTGGACCACTCCCCAGCCTGAAACTGAGTGTGTCGCTTCCCCATCCCCACCAGGAAGGAGGGCCAACCCAGTAACCCATCACTAACTCCCACCCAACTGTGTCTGTTACAGTATATCTCCAAGAACGTGCCAGCCACGGACCACGTCATCCGGAGGGAAACCGAGACCACCTTTTCTGGGAGCCACTCCTGTTCTCCTTCTCACCACTGTTCCACGGCCACCCCCACCTCCAGCCACAGGTGGGCACCGACCAGGTGCACGTCTGCCTGGGGACACACAGAGAAACCCCCCCAGCCAGGCTCGGCTCTGTGTTGAGGGTCCCTCAGAGTCAGAGGCAGGAGGTGGAGCACCTCAGACTAGAACCCACCAGCAAACATTCATCCAGATCCTCGGTGGCCCGGATTCCCTTTTCCAGTCTAAACTGACCCCAGAGAAACAACAACATCCCTGGGCTCCCACCTGACACTGAGTGCTGGCATCACGTTATCTGGCGTTAAGTGCCTCCTCATTCAAACACCCACACCTATTTGATGCCCTCTCTTGGGTTTGCTCATATGAACCTAGTTCCCCGTAGCTTCCTTTCCTTTAGAGTGGGGAGGTCTGCCCGCCCAAGCACAAAGGTCCATGGAGCTCAAGAAATGCCATAGTTGGTCTTCTTCCCTGGGAAGCGGCATGGACTAGACAGGGCCCCCAGGTATTGGCCACGAGGGCTGCGCTCCTGACATAGGTGGCCAAGGACCATGGGAGCGGAAGCATCCCCCACAGGGAGTCCCGGGCCAAGGCTAGGGGGAGGATGGTGGCACAGAGGAAAAGAAGAGGCTCGTGCACATGGCAGCCCACCCATCCACAGGTCACTTGGCCCTCCTTCCCCCCTAGATCATGGTGTGACACGTTGGCTCAGAGTGGAGAAGGGCCGTGAGCTGAGGATGCCTGAAATGCAATAAGAACCAGGGAGGGGGCGGACCCTTGGACCACACCTGCTGGGCTGTCCTGCCCCTTCCTGATCCCTCACCTCTCCTCCACCCACCTTCTCCAGGCATGAGAGCCACACGTGGAGCCTGGAACGTTCCGAAAGCCTGACCTCCGACTCGCAGTCAGGCATCATGCTGTCTTCAGTGGGCACCAGCAAGTGCAACAGCCCGGCATGTGTGGAGGCCCGGGCACGGCGGGCAGCAGCCTACAGCCTGGAAGAGCGGCGCGGGGCAGCCGTGCCACCTTACCATGACTCCATAGACTCCCTGCGTGACTCCCCACACAGCGAGAGGTCAGTTCCTGCCTCATGCCCTCTGCCCCACCCTGGCCAGAGAACTGGCACCACTGGCCCAGGGCTGACCCTTATGGCAACTCAGACATACTCCAACGATTCTCAGGTCCATATTTCAGCTTGGCCAGCAAGGTCCCTGAGAGGTTCAGTGATCTGCTCAGGGTCGTCAACATGTTCATGACAGACTGGGACTGCAGCTGAGCCAATGGACCCTGGTGTGGAGTGACTGTCTAGTTTAATTGTCCTACTAGGACACTTTTCAAAGTAGAAGGGGATGTTGATAATTAATTGCACTAGAAAATCAGGAACAAACAGAGGCTGTTCCAGACAAACCAGAACATATGGTGACTCTACCCTGGTGTCACCCAGAGGTCCCATGGCCCAGCGGGAACAGAAAGACACCAAAATGGAGCAGATTGGAGGGTGGGAGGGGAGGCTGTCTTCAAGGAGACTGAGCAGTGCAGGCTGGGCACAAGCCAAGAAAGACTACAGGCCCTGGCAATATCAGCAACAAGGCCCAGGGATCAAGACACCATTGAGTTTCCAAGCACTGGATAGAGTGTGAACCAGGAAACTCCCCTTCTTCCCTGACTCCATGCCAGGAGTCACAGGAGGCCAGCCCTCCACCTTGTTCTGCCCTCCAGTGGCCCTTAGCAAGTGGGATCTGTGGGAAGAGAGCAGAGGAAGGTGCAGAGTGCTGGGAACTCGGGAACTCAGAGTACTGGAACTGAGTACTGGAACTCAGAGCTGGAGTAGAGGGAGAGGAAGTGTTCTCCTGCTCTAACTTAGCCTACTCCATGCCAGCCCTCGCTGAGCAGACCTGCCTGGGGACACAAAGATGGCCCACCTGGTTCTTGCTCTGGAGGAACTCCAAGCCACAGACACAAACTACTGAAGCTCACAGCCACCTAAGGAACATGCTTAGCACAGGCCATCCTACCAGGGCAGAGACCCAGTCTGACTCCAGGCTCTAGGAAGCAGCCAGGTTTCTCAGACCAACCTTTCAAAGCCCAACTCCACCACCTGTGTGATTTGGAGAGGTTGGTCACTTCTGTACCTTGTTTCCTCAGCTGTAAGTCATGAAAAACTGTACCTACCATGCATGGTTCCTGAGAAGGCCATCAGAGATCATATGCACGGAGCCCTCTGCCACCTACACTAGGTGCAGCTGTTGTTTTCAGTCGAAGTAGGACTTCTGAATGGTTGGGAGGTAGAGACAAGAAGAGCACTTCAGGCAAGGGAAGCACTCTGAGCTTTTCCAGCATCCATTTTCAGAACACGGCTAGTGAGTGAGGTGCCCGGAGCCTGGGTGAGCTGTAGGGAGAGTGGAGCTGGCTCTGAACAGGTAGGCCGAGCCAGGTAAATGGCAATGGCCCTGGGCTCTGCTTATAATGGGGGCCTGGAATGGGTAAGCAGGAACGGCCTCCTTAAGCAAAACAGTGACAGTAAAAGATTGCTCTGGAAAACTGCATACTGTGAAGGAGGGGCCCTGGAGTCCTGTAATGATCAGAGCGAACAACTAGGCCCGGAATGGGGTAGAGCAGGGCACAGGGTGTGTTCCAGGAGTTGGGGAATGGTAGCTAATTGGATGTACGTGTGAGGGAGGGCGGAGAGGTAAGTGAGGTGACTCAAAAAAAGAGTAATGAGGACTCTGAGAGCCCTGAAGTGTAAGTCCTGGTTCCTGCCTGGCGTCGGTTCAAATCCCAGCTCTACCACTTCCTGGTTTCGTGAACCCTTAGCAGGTCACTTAAATGTTTTGAGTCAGTTTTCCTCATGTGCAGTATGGAACTAATCTGAGGGTCTTAGAGTATTGCTGTTAGATGAGATAGTACAAGTAAAATGCCCCAATCTGAGCCTGACCCAAAGTAACCATTCAGAATCCTGGTGACTATGGGCATCCCCCACACGGAAGGATCATTCGGGAAGGATCACCAAGCAGGCACTGGCATTCCATTTGATACATTTATGGAATCATCCCAGCGACGCCATGGAATTAGCATTGTGGTTATCCCCACTTAAAAGATAAGGCAACTGAGCCTGGTAGAGGTTAAGGAAATTGCTTAAGGACAGTAAGGAGGGCCACCATGATTCCTAGCGGCTGAGTTCCAGGCAAGACCGCTTCTTTCCGTCGTAATCCACCCCTATCATCCCACCCCGTAGCCCCCCGCCCATGCCTCTGCCTCTCCCCGCAGGTACGTGTCGGCACTGACCACGCCCGCGCGCCTCTCTCCCGTGGACTTCCACTACTCGCTGGCCACGCAGGTGCCGACTTTTGAGATCACGTCCCCTAACTCGGCGCACGCAGTGTCGCTGCCGCCGGCCGCGCCCATCAGCTACCGCCTAGCGGAGCAGCAGCCGCTACTGCGGCAGCCGGCGCCCCCCGGCCCGGGGCCCGGGCCGGGCGCGGACATGCAGCGCAGCTACGACAGCTACTACTACCCCACGGCGGGGCCGGGGCCGCGGCGCGGGGCCTGCGCGCTGGGCGGCAGCCTGGGCAGCCTGCCCGCCAGCCCCTTCCGCATCCCGGAGGACGACGAGTACGAGACCACGCAGGAGTGCGCGCCCCCGCCACCGCCGCGGCCGCGCACTCGCGGCGCGTCCCGCAGGACGTCAGCGGGGCCCCGGCGCTGGCGCCGCTCGCGCCTCAACGGGCTGGCGGCGCAGCGCGCACGCGCGGCGCGGGACTCGCTATCGCTGAGCAGCGGTTCGGGTGGCGGCTCGGCTTCTGCCTCGGACGACGACGCGGACGGGGCGCTGGCGGCCGAGAGCACGCCTTTTCTCGGCCTGCGCGGGGCTCACGACGCGCTGCGCTCGGACTCGCCGCCGCTGTGCCCGGCGGCCGACAGCAGGACTTACTACTCCCTGGACAGCCACAGCACGCGGGCCAGCAGCAGACACAGCCGCGGGCCGCCCCCGCGGGGCAAGCAGGACTCGGCGCCCCTCTAGGGGCCCCCGCCGCCCGCCGCCCCCTCCGCCTCGCCTGCCCCACTGTCTTTAAGGAGGACAGAGACCACCGCCTGGAGAGAAAAAGGAGGAAAAAAAGAAATAAAAATATTTTTATTTTCTATAAAAGGAAAAAGGTATAACAAAATGTTTTATTTTCATTTTAGCAAAAATTCTCTTATAATACTAGCTAACGGCAAAGACGTTTTTATAGGGAAACTATTTATATGTAACATCCTGATTTACAGCTTCGGAAAAAAAAAAGAAACAACAAAAAAAAAGTGAGATGGGCCAATTTTTTGACTCTTTAATAGAAACCTATATTGTGGTGCCTTTTGCTGTACGCTAATCTGGGGCTCCTGGAGAGAAGAAGGGTTGTGGGGTGAGGGTTAGGGGAATGTAGGATCCCAAGCTGGCAGGGATGAGAGGAGGCTGCCAAAGAAGAGGCTGCTGGGTGCTGGTGGGGGCGGGGAGGGGACTGGCCCTGAGAAAGAAAATGAGAACAGTAGCAGCTTTGCCCTCAGGCAGATCTTGAGTCCCCGACCCCCTGAAGAGAAGGCAGGGATCTAGGCTTGGAGCTAGAGCTGGGGTCAGGTAACATTCAGAGGGAGACTTAAGGCCCAGCGACAGCAACCAGAATGGGGAGAGGGCCTCCCTGTTCCTTACAGCTGCTAAGGGAGGGGGCACTGAGACAGAGATCTTCCCGACAGTCCTGGCTCCAGGGAGGGGGCAGCTCTTCCAGGGCCCCAACTTTCTGGCTCCTCCTCCCCGTGGCCTCCAGGATGCCCTTCCGTCCTCTGCAGCACCTTCGTTTACAGGTTGTCTTTTCTATTTTATGCCTGCATGTCCTTTGCATTTCAGATTCTTTAGATTGGATGCATGGTCACGCTGGGACCGAGAAGAGCCACTCCACAGTGTATTTGATTCCCCTTTTAGCAATAAAGTAACACCATTTCTTCCAGACCCCAAGCCACCTATGACTTCCACTCCCTCTCCAGCCCTGTCCTCCCCACCCCTGCAAAACTGGGTCCACTGCTAATTTGTCAAAAAGGTAATTGTTTAAAAAAAACAAAATCAAAAAATACACCAAACAAACAAATGGGAACCCTGCCCTGAAATGTCCAAACACCTGACTGTTGACACTTGAACATTTTTATATTATAAATAAAATCAGAAATAACTCATGTTTGACTGTGTGTGCCTAGCCCCCTGGTAGGGAGAGAAGACAATGAGGACCTGGGTGGAGATGGATGGATGCCGGTGTGGAGACTGGAGAGGGCCAGGGTAGTCCCAGGGAGGAAGAGACAGTCCCTCTAATCTACCTGGCTTCAGCCCCTAGGACAGGCTGCAACCCTCCTCCCTTTCCCAAGAATATTCACAAGGTATCCCCCCTACCTGCCAGGGAACCTGTCCAAGGGGCTGATGCATATTACTCTGCTTTGAGCTCAGTCTCAGAACCCTAGCCCAGTTCCTGCCCTGGAGCTACTGGGACTGCACTGAGGCAGCAATTTCCGGCCTATGTGGGTGAGAAGGGAAGGCTTGTGGGGTTGGCACTGGGGCAGCTGAGGCAAGGTGACCCTTGCGGCCTCAGGCATGTCACAGGCAAAGCCTGGACATGCAAGATGGCATAATGGGTATCCTTGGCTGCCAGGAAGATCACAGCTGCTGCAGCTTGTAAGCCCACAGGGTGTTGTGCTTCTCCTAACTTTATAGCCCCTCAGAGCCAGGGCCTGTCTAAACCTGCAGTCCCTGATGAAGGCAGATGGAGGTCCAGGGTTAAGAAGCCTTTTCCCTCGTTGACTCATTTATTAAACCAGTGCCCAGTGCCAGGAACCCTTATGTTCCAGCCAGACACAAGGGAGTCTTCTATCCAGAGGTCTCAGGTGGTTGACTTGAGTGCACACATGCACAGATGCCCCTAGAATGTATGTGGTCAGTTTAGAGACCTACAAATGGGAGGGCCAGAGAAGCTTAAGGTTGAGAGGAGCTGAGCTCCAGTTCCAGCTCTGCCCTCCTTGGCGGTGTGACTTCTCTAGGCTGCTGTTTCCTCAGCTGTAAAGCGGTGATGCTGACACCTACCTCAAAGGGTTGTTGTGGAGATTATATATAAAGCACCCAGGAATGCTTCTGGCACATGATGCCTATTAGTGGTTAATTTGATGATGATGGTATCCTGTGCCTTGCATTCTTGAATCACAGAATGGCAAAAAGCTGGATGAAACAGAGTTGATGAGGAAAAGTAAAGAACTAAAGTCATTGTGTTCACTGTGGGGGTGCTGGGGAAAAAAGCACCTGTTACAAAGAAACAAAGGAAAGAGTGAACTAGATGGTATATAAACCTGCAAATCACTGATCTCTCCCAGGCCCCATCTGGTGATCTCATCCAGATCCCTTTGCTGGCTCTGAGTTAGTTTACTGTTGGCTTTAAAATTTTCTGACAGCCAATAATTCCTCTATATGACTTCTGACCTCTATGTGAACCCCAATAATTGTGAACGACTTCTTGGTGAACCCATTGACCTTTTCACAAACCCTCAGGGTCAAATTTGACCCTTCTGAGGGCTCTGAGTTGCTGTTACCTTCTAAATTTTCAGTCAGAAACCACCTCTGACTCCAGTGAACCCACCTGACCTCTATATGGACCCCAGTAATTGTGACTGGCGTCTTGGTGAACGCCCCCCTCTGGACTTTTCATGACCCCAGGTAGTTGTATTGAATAGTTTGGTAGCTTGGTTTTCTGATCTGGATCCTAAAACACCCACCAGGAGTCTAAGGCCAGAACCTAATGGAATTCACCACCCATTCATTTCACAGGTATGAATGAGACCTGGGAAGGATGTGGCCAGAGAGGCTCATTTCCCACTCTGTTTCTCAAATTTCTGCCTTGAGATGTCCTTAGTGTGGCCCATCAGGAAGAGGTATAGCCCTGTTAAGGGACTTTCCTACTACCACCCTGCCCTCCAGGAGCACTCAGGACATTCAGGTGGCTACCTGAATCAGAGTCTTCTTCTCCACTCCAGTTCTTTCTTCTCTCTCTGCCAGGTCAGTTTTGGCTTTCTCCCCAGTGCTCCCAGGGTTCTAAATGGTAATGGTGACTGCCTGTCCCCTCTCCACTAGACTGTGAGCCCCATGTGGACAGAGAGCTGCTCGGTCCTTTTCTCACCACACTATCCTCAGCACCTAGCACAGTGTGCAGCACTGGTGACCTTCACTGAATAAGAAAATGAAGGTTGAAGAAACACTGTGGTCAAGGGTCAGCCCCCACAAGTCCCTGAGCCCAGAGCAACTTCCCAGGACCACCAGGTGGCGCAAACCACTCATTGCATCTCACCCGCGGTCCTCCAGCCCCTGGATTTGGACAGTCCTGGAAAATGGGCATATTACGGGCAGAAGTTGGGGGAAATATGATGGTCCATTAGAATGCAGGAAAAAAAATATATTAGAACTTTCATTTAGGTTTATTTTCATCTCATCTTTTTAAATTTCTATTTTTGTGTATGTTTTATAATGTACATAATATTTTAGTACAGTAGTACATGTATATAATTTACAATAAATAATTATACAATTAAGAAAATGAACTAAAGATTTTTTTTACTGATGGGAGACATCACTAGTGCTCAGGGAAGCCTGTCTGCAGCAGACAGAAGCTTGCTCCTCTGCTTTCACTCACCCACCCTCATGAGGTGGAGGGTGGGAAGCTGACCCCAAAAATCAAAGACCTTTGAGCCAGCATGGAGAAAGTACAGAGGGCTCTGTTATGTTACATTGCTCTTTCAAGTTCATTTAAATGAACACTTGCTTCCCCTCAGCAAAACGAAGGGCCCAGATGGTTTGGGTATAAAATACACATCAGCTAATCCAAATTAAATAATCTGGATTTAAATCACTATATATTTCCACAGACTCATACATACCTTGCATCAAATGTGAGCGTGCTTGTACGTGTTAGGTACTTAATAAGATAACCCAACCTTGCCACTAACTAAATATGTTACCACTGAGGTCAAACTGCTGCCCAAACTAATCTATTTTAAAAGTATAAAGGACCTGCTCATCATAGCTCACTGAAGGCCCATCACCTCCACCGCTGGTCCGTCTGAGGAATTCAGGGTTTATAAGATACTAGTCTGATCATCACGTGGCAGATTTTTCCATCCTTCTCAGGCATGTCCTTAGCTAGCATTTTTGAGTCACTGGAAGAGTGAAAGAAATATCAGCTTAAAAACCAATCAGCAACTTCTTACTCCACCTTTTCCCAAGACCAGGAATTAATGGCTTCCATAACCTTCCTCCACCAAACATCTTTGGGCTTATTGACAAGTGGCTGTTCGCAAGGCAGAGTGTCTTTTATTCCGGGAGCAGTAGATCTGTACAAGAGGCCACCTCTGGAGCTCAGAGACCTGGCAGCACCAACATAAAGACCAAAATATAAACAAGGCCATAGTCCCATCCCACTAACACCCCAGAATGCCCATGGGACAGATGTGGTAGCATACACACACACATACTGTCTATTTATTCCAAACATCAACTGTAAGAGCAGTGTAAGTCACAGGTCAGCCGGAAGAGGGGAAAAGGGAGTGAGAGGAGGTCAGCACATCCTCTCCCAGAGTGTCTGGGCCACCAAGGGGCCAGGTAACAGCCTTCCTCACTAACAGGTAGAGTTCTGAAATGGGCTTTTCCTTCATCTTATTTCATCTTGATATCAATTCCAAAATCATCTTTAAAGGGGTTCCTTATATATATATAATTCTTATATATATACATTTTTGTCCATATAAAAGAAAGTAGGAGTGGCCTCCATGAATGGAAGGTGAGGTGGACACACACATGAGTAGACAGCTTGACATCAAGAGAGCAGGCCCGGGTCCTGGATTATTGCAAAAGGAGGCAGGAGAACAGGGCGTGGTTCCAGAAGCTACGGGGTGGGGGTGGGGAGGGCACAGGCAGGATGGTGCTGGTGGTCCACAGACCTGCTGCTGTTCAAGTCTAAGGAAGGTGGATGAGAACAGGTGGGGACCCAAGCTGACAGCTGGAGTCCAGACCTGCCCTTGGGAACAAGAGAGATGAGGGAAGGAACTTGTGAGAAGGGGAGGAGGGCCTGCAAAGCCAGCTGCCCTTCCTTCTCCTCCAGTGAGATCATGGCTAGAGCATGCACACAACTGGCCTAGACAATGAGGCTTGGTGGTAGAGAGGAATGTGAGGGCTAGAAAGAAGGTCTGAGGCCCATATCAACTCCAGGAAGCAAGAAGATCAGCGCCACAAAGAACATTTCCATCTCCCTGGGCCACAGGGCTCTCTACACCCCTCTGGCTGCCTGTCAACTGCCTGGAGCTGGCGCGAGTAGCCCCTGGCTGGAATTGTGCTCACTGACCCCTCTAGGGACATTTGCCTGCCTCTGGGGCCTGCCCATCCACACCAGCTAAGTGTCAGGCCCCGTGGTATCCTTTGTAGCTCTGCTGCCAGTCATAGTCCCGTGGCCCTGACTGAGGGCGGGGCTTGAGTGTGTCTTGCGCAGAGAAGGGTCGTCCCCTTCTAGAGTAGCCAGTCGGGCCTCAATCCGCTCCAGGTCATCTGAGCCCACTTTGATTTTCACAGCCAGGAGGTGGATATAGGTCTCATAACGGCTTTTCTAGAAAAAAGGCAGAGAAAGGCCAAAAACAAAGTCAAATGACAAATAAGAAAATGCAAAAAAAAAAAAAAAAGTATTTGGACCTTATGTGATAAAAGACTAATTCCTTAATATTCAGAGTGCTCTCACAAATCAATAAAAAGGAGATAAACAATCCAATTAAAAAATAGGCAAGGGGCATACACAGAACTTTAATTCCTAATTTTAAAAAAATTCAAGTTAAGGGGCAATGATGAGTATGACAGCAAAAGTACAGACAACCAAAATAAAAGTTGACAGATGGGATTACAAAATTTAAAACTCTTGTGCATCAGAGTGGCTGGGTGGCTCAGTCAGTTAAGGGTCTGTCTTCAGCTCAGGTCATGATCCCAGGGTCTTGGATTGACCCACCCCCAGCAGGCTCCCTGCTTCAGTGGGGAGTCTGCTTCTCCCTCTCCCTTTGCCCCACCCCCTGCTTGTGTTCTCTTTCTCTCTCTCATAAATAATAAAAAATAATCTTTAAAATAAAGGTAAAAGTGCCCCTAAATAAAATCTTTTTAAAAAAAAACTCATGTGTATCAAAGGACAATCAATAGAGTGAAAAGGCAATCCACAGAATGGAAAAAAATATTTGCAAATCCTCTGATAAGGGTCTACTATCAAGAATATAAGAAAAACTCCTACAATTCAACAACAGAAATACAACCCAACTTAAAAAGGGCAAATATCTTAGACATTTCTCCAAAGAAGACATACAAATAGTCAATAAGCTCATAAAACGACATTCAACACCATTCGTCATCAGGGAAATGCACCTCAAAACCACAAAGAGATACCCTCTCACACCTATTGGAACATCTACTATCAGAGAAAAGTCAAAGAGTGAGTGTTGGTGAAGGTGCAGGAAGATTAGAACCCTCATGTGCTGCTGGTGGGAACCATGGCCTACCGCCGTAGGAAACAGTCTGGGGGCGCCTGGTGGCTCTTGGTTTTGGTTCAGGTCATGATCCCAGGGTCAATGAGATGGAGCCCCCCAGAGGGCTCTGTGCTCACTGGGAAGTCTGCTTGAAATCCTCTCTCTCTCCTTCTCTCTCTCTGCCATACTCAAATAAATATTTTTCCAAAAAAGGAAACAGTATGGTTGTTCTTCAGCAAATTAAAAATAATATTGCCTTGTACTCCAGCAGTACCACTTCTGAGTATATACCCAAAAGAATTTAAGGCAGGTCTCAGAAATATGTGCATACCCAAGTTCATAACAACACTATTTACAAAAGTCAAAAGATGAAAGCAACCCAAATGTCCAGCAGCAGATGAAAAGATAAAGAAGATGTGGTATCTACATACAATGGAATAGTATTCAGCCTTAAAAAGGAAGGAAATTCTAACACATGCTGCAACATGGATAAACTTGAGCATATGCCAACCACAAAAACACAATTTCTATATTATTCCACTAATATGCAGTAACTAGAGGAGTCTGCAGAGACAGAAACTAGAATAGTGTTCGCCAAGGATGGGGCAGGGGGAGTTGGAGAAGAGTTGCTCTTTGATGGGTATAGTTTCAGTTTGGAAAGATGAAAAAGTTCTGGAGATCGGTTGCACAACAGTGTGAGTAGGCTTAATACTACGGAACTACACATTTAAAAATGGTTAACGTGATAAATTTTATGCTATGTGTGTTTACAATTTTTTTTAATTTTTTAAGATTTTATTTATTTATTTGAGAGAGAGAGAGATAGAGAACATGAGCAGGGATGAGAGGGAGAAGCAGTCTCCCCGCTGACCCAGGGCCCCGGGATCATGACCTGAGCCCAAGGAAGATGCTCAACCAACTGAGCCAGCCAGGTGCCCTGCACAATTAAAGAATTTTTAATTCAAATTAAAATAGCAATGAGATACCCCTTACTAAACCTATCAGATTGGTGATTAAAACATTCAGGCGTGTCCACTGCTGGTGAGTAACATGAACAGAGAAGTACATTCATGAGCTATTTAAAGTATTATAAACCTGGGGTGGGGAGGTGCTGGGTGGCTCAGTCATGAACCATTGGACACTTGATCTCAGGTCATGATCTCAGGGTTGTGAGATCCATCCCTGTGTTGGGCTCCATGCTAAGTGTGGAGCCTGCTTAAGATTCTCTCTCTCCCAGGGAGGTGAGTGGGGGTATGGGGTACTGGGTGACAGGCATTAGGATGGCACATGACATGATAAACAGTGGGTGCTATACGAAACTGATGCATTAGTGAACTCTACATCTGAAACTAATAATGTACTATATGTTGGCTAATTGAATTTAAATTTAAAAAAATAAAGATTGTCTCTCTCCCTCTGCCCCTTCCCCCACCCCTCTCTCTCAAAAAAAAAAAATTGTTATAAATAGGTAAACATTTAGGAGGGAAATTTGGCTGACTATAACTGAGGGCCTGACTCTGAGCTTCCAGCCCTCACCCAGTCAGAAGAGGCTGAGGTCCTAGAAGAAGCAACGACGAACAGTGAGAAGACACTGTTCTCACACAACTCTGCACATGAGCAGAAAGACCCTTCACTGCTGGGCTTCACATCCCCTCCCTCCACACTCCCCTAGTTCAGCCAGGGTAAGTGAGAAAGACCAGAATGCCAGAGTCACACTCAGTCGTTTGGGCTAGGATCCTGGTTCCTACACTTCTTAACCGTCACCTCAAGGAAGTGGTCTGCCCTCTCCACGCCTCAATTTTCCCATCTGTAAAATGCAGATAATAACCCATTTCAACAGAATTGACATGAGGATTAAATCAATCAGTACAAGGGAATCGTGCCGACAACTGGCAAGAGATCAGTCCACTGTAGCTTTTGTTATCCCTTTTTCTTTTTTTTTAAACGTTGCAGAGAGAGTGGGTCTGAGAAGATTTTGAAAGCTGTACCGCTTTATTTTTTGAAAGGTCAGGATCTTCCCTGGGAACTCTCCTCTCTTCCTCACACTTCAATAGAAAATAAATGTAGAAATGCAGAGACTGACATCAGTGACTTACTGCCTTTCCTGCCCCAAAGGTTCCGTCTAAGCCTCTATATGGTCCACCCCCCCACAGCAGGTCAATACAAAGCCCAGTCCAAAAGAGACAAGTGGTTCCTGCCTCCCTCCCCGAGGCTGGCCCCCTCTTGTTCACCTGATGAAGGCGATGCTCCGTCAGCCCCATTTACAGAGCATCAGGAGGCAGAATCAGGGTGGGGGCCAGGGAGAGGCAAGATGGAGGGGAGGGAGAACTTAGTTGCTGTGCCTGATAAACATCTGTGGAAGAGGAAAGGGAGACAAAAGTGGGATGGGTCGTGCAGGTGGGCTTGAGCTGTTTATGGTTTTAACAGCTCTCCGAGAGGCTGGGTCATGGCAGGGTGTGGAAGTGAGGAGGGTCTTGGAGAAGAGTGGGGGCCAACTTGTGCTCTTTGAAAGACACAAGTGAGGCACAACTGTTTGATGAACAATTGGCAGCCAGACTGCATAGCCTGGCCCGCAGGAGGCCCTGTGTGGCTCATGACTGGCTCAGGGGAGCTCCCAAAGTGGAGAACCCTCAAACCAGGAGCCCCCGGCTGCAGAATGATATTGGTGACAGGAGAAGGAGGAGAGCTGGCTTCCTCCTTCTGCCCCAGCCCTGTCCTTCGCAATAGCCCCAAGTAGAACCCACCTCAAAAGTGAGATAGTGCTCCTTCAGCCGGTTCTCCTCAGCCTCCTTGGACTTGACACCCTTCTCGATGGGGTGACACCTGTGCTCAGCCAGCTCTGCAGTCACCTGCCTCAACTTATTCTCATGAGAACGCAGCTGCTCCTCCTGCAAAGACAAGTCCCGGACTGTGAGGTCCCACTCTCAAGACGTCACAGACGTGAGTCTGCACCTGTCATGCTGGATCTGCTTCCACAAAGGGAAACTGAGGCCTGGCCAGTGTCATCAAGTATGTGGGGGACCTAAGGGAGTGGTCCTCCACCCTCCTCCTTCCCGCCTTGCTTTAACTGGCATCAGCCCTCCTAAATAAATCCACGGCAGACTCGGGAAATGAGAGACCCTCACGCTAGAAGGCCCACACAGACACCTGACATAGACACACCATCCCACCAGAACCAGCACCCCACACTGGTTCATATGGACTCACACATGCACACACAAACACAGTGGACCAAGGGACAGTCTGGCCATGGCTACGCCTGGCTCCATATGAGGCACACATTCTCTTGGATTCTTGCCCAGGCACACGTGATGGTCAAAGTCCCAGCGTCACACGCAGACAGTCAGAGACACTGTCACTCACGGACAAGTGCGCGCATATGTTTCACCCAACAAAGTACAGGCAGAC